ACAAGAAAAAAACAATTTTCTAAAACAATCTTTTTTATAACTGAATTTTTAAAAAACTGAAGTAACCAAAATTTTTGTGCAATTTCCTATTTTTTAATTTTCAATTTTCAATTTTTTGATGCAAAATTAACAAAAAAAAAAATCTTGACCATACAAAAACAACACGGAGTATTAGATTAAAGAGTAAAGTACAGCCACACCCTCTGAGATTTGGCAAAAGGACACTCAGATGAAACTTATTTGTTTTTTTGACAAAGACACCCCTTAAAGGTTCAAAAATTGACAAATACACCCCTTTACATGAGAAATTGACCAAATTACCCTTTAACTGTTTATGAGACTTTTTTAACTTTACAATTTAATAAATTAGACCTATCTACCCTCATGAACAAATAATGCATAAAAAAAAAACTTTATATTATTCACTTCTTTTTTCATTTTCTTTTTTATTTATTATTTATTTTTTTTTATAAATATCCCAACTTCTTAAAAATGTAAATGTCTAAAATGATTTTTTGATCCAATACGTATATTTTAAATAAATTATATTTTGTTATTACTTCTTTTCTTTTTCTTTTTTATTTTTAAATTAAGATGCTTAATCTTTTCATCTAAAAAAATTAAACCAATCTCTTTTCCTTAAATATAAAAAATATGGTACCAGTATAACTTTATGCATCTTAAATTATATATCAAATATTATGGATTTTTCAACATAAAAGGAAAAAAATAATAATAAGAAAACAAAGGGAAAAAAAATAATAATAATAAAACAAAAGAAAAAAAAAAAAACAAACAAACAAAAAAAGTTATGCATAAAGTTATACTGGTACCTATTTTCTTTTATGCTAAGAAATGCATAATATTTGATATATAATTTAAGATACATAAAGTTATACTGGTACCATATTTTTTATTTTTAAGGAAAAGACATTGATTTAATTTTTTTAGATGAAAGAATTAAGTATTTTAATTTAAAAATAAAAAAGAAAAATAAAAGAAGTAATAACAAAATATAATTTATTTGAAATATATGTATTGAATTAAAAAATCATTTTAGACGTCCACATTTTTTAGAAATTGGGACATTTATAAAATAAATAAATTTTTTATTAAAAAAGTGAACAATATAAAGTTTTTTTTTTTTTTTTTACTTTTTTTGTATGCATAAATTATTAGATTGGTCCAATTTATTAAATTATAAAGTTAAAAAAATCTCCTAAATGGTTAAAAGGTAATTTAATTAATTTTTTTATATAAAAGAATATTTTTATTTAAAAAAACAAGTAAGTTTTCTCTTAATATCTTTTTGCCAAACTTAGTGTGAGTGTACTTTACCTGGATTGAATAAAATGTTGACCATACAAAAACAAGCGGTCGACTTGATTTAAGAAGACACTGAACTGAGCTTTAGCTATGAAGCACGGACACTCCTCCCAGGGGCCCCATACCCGTGTCGGATACTTTTCGGACACCGACACCCGTGTCCAAGGCTCGGACACGTGTCCGACACTTCTGTAAAGTGTCCAAATATTATTTTTTATTGGACACGCGTGTCCGAGGCTCGGACACACGGTCCGACACTTCTGTGAGGCAAAATTTATTTTCTCTCACTCCTCTCAGTCTCTCATCTTCTTCAATTATCTCTCTTCATAAACAAGATATCTCTCTCTCTCTCTCTCTCTCACTCTCACTCTCTCTCTCTATATATATATATATATATTTATTTAAGTTACATGAACAAAACTTTGTGAAAGACTAAAAGTATATAGAAAATAAATAAAAAATAAAGTTGATCCAAATTCTAAACGAAGATGTGCAGAAGAGACATAACTATAATGAACTAAATATGTATATGAATAAACATATATACTTTTAGTCTTTCACAAATATATAGAAAACAAAACTTTGTGAAAGACTAAAAGTATATATATTTATTCATATACATATTTAGTTCATTATAGCTATGTCTCTTCTGCACATCTTCGTTTGGAATTTAAATCAACTTTATTTTTTATTTATTTTCTATATGCTTTTAATTTTGTTTATATTTTTCTTATAACAGAGATGAAATTATTGAAATTGATTCTGTTATTTGTTATTGTTGTTTTATTTTTTTGTACAAGATTCTAGTAATTATATTTTGAATATATATATTGTTACTCAAGAATTGACTCTAGAGGGGGGGTGAATAGAGTCAATGGCCAATTTTCGCAAATTATAGAAGTACAATTTCTAATCAATAGTATAACCAATTATGTAATAAACAAGATATGAAAGTAATCAATTTAGCATAACTGTAAAAGAGATAAGGGAAGAGAAATTGCAAACAATAACACGGCAATTTTTGCGAGGTTCGGAAACTCCTACTCCTCGGCTCAAGATCCCTCTTGAGACTTCCCAAATTCCTTAGAGCTTATCCTTAATGGTGGATAGCAAACCTTCAATTAAAGCAAGACCTTGCTTCTCTTTCTTACTAGGAGAACACCCTTCTCCTAGGCTTCATTTTGGGTCACACCAACCATTTACAGTATCCTTGCTAAGAGACCACCTCTCTTAGTTTTACATAGGCCACACCAGCCCTTACAATTTCTTTGCTAAGAGAAACTCTTCCTCCTAGGCTTACAGCAGATTTGTAGATAGAATTTGTAGTACAAGAAATCCTCTCAAGAACTGATACAAATCAAACCTCACAATAGGGTATATATGAAATCAAGTGCAGCTCAAACTCTAAGTATGAAATGTATGAGAGATGATGAGGAAAACTACAGAACAAAAGCTCTGATGAAATACTAGAACAAAAGTTCAGCAAAGGCTCACTAAATGCTCTCTGAAGTTCACTCTGATTCAACTATGGAAGCTTGTATATGAGACAAAGATCGATGTCTGAATAGAGGCTCTATGAGTGAGTATAACCAGAACAAAAGCTCTGTATAATGGTAGAGCCAAAAGCTTTCTTTGATGCACTTGAATGAATGTTCTTGAATGCTCTTTCAAGTAGTATATGAGTGAATGAGAGAGATGAGGAGAAGATATGAGAACAAAAGCTCTCTTTGCAATGTGATATGATGTCTCTTAAAATCGTGTTTTCTTTTCAGACAAACCCTTTGTATATATAAAGAAATTCATAGCTCAATATAGCTGTTAGAAGTGGTTAGAGGAAATAAATGCAGAAAAATTGCCATTGTAATTCAAAACCCTCAAAGGAGCCGGCTCTTTCCAAAAGTGGAGGCGGCTCAATTTCAAATGGAGGCGGCTCCATTAGAAAAGTGGAGCAGGCTCTTTTTCTGAAAAGGAGAATGCTCAATGGAAAAGTGGAGCCTTCTCTAGATTTTTAGAGCCTTCTCTACTTTCGTGGAGCCTTCTCTACTTTTTGGTAGAGCCCTCTCTAGTTTTTCATTGAGCCTTCTCTACTTTTCTGAGCCGTCTCTAAATTTGTAGAGCCTTCTCTAGTCTTTGAGAGAGCTGGCTCTATTTCTTATAGAGGCTGCTCTTGCTTCATGAAGGCTGCTGCTAAATTGGACAGAAAAAAGTGCATGACTTCAAATAGACATAACTCAGTCCATGAAACTCCAAATGAGGTGAAATTTGAGTCTAAATTTATTGTCTTGAAGTCAGCTATCTAAACCCACCGGCCTTGCTCAAAAATTCCAACCATAGAAAAAGTTATGGCTGTTTAAGTGCAACCTAGTCAGAATTTTCGCAGAGCAGAATCAGGTATTTTGTGAAGCTCATATCTCAGTCATTTTTAATCCAATTTAGGTGAAATTTGAGTCTAAAATCAAGGGCTCGAAGTCAGCTTTCCAATGCCACTGGCCTTGTGTAAAAATTACAACTACACAAATAGTTATAGCAGTTTTAGTGCAAGCTGGTCTGAAATTTTCTAAGTTGAAAATAGCTTCTTTTGAGATATCCATCTTTCTAGCACCTAGGACTTTGATGAATGATTCAATTAAGTTCAAGGCCTATTTCTAAGAGTCTTGGGACATATGAAGATGATAAATTTCAAGTGCATTGTGTCCAAGAGTTATTTACCAAATTTTGGCAACAAAGGCTTTAAAGATGAAAAATTAATTCAATGTCTTTTCCTTTTATTTTTAGAGACCAAAATAAATATAATGATTAATGTGCATGGTCCTAGAATTTCTAGCTTAAAAAATGAGTTCTTTCAAAACTTATCAAACTTGAACTAACTCTTTCTTAGCAAAGATTTCATATGACAATATATATAAATGAAGTTCCTAGTCTATTGCTAATGGTCATAGGAGCATATGAATGATATATGATATGCATGGTCCTATAATTTTGAGCTTCAAAAAATATTCAAATATACTTTAACTTTGAATCTTAAGTTCTCACCATCCTATCTACCATTTTCTTCATTCTTTGACCATGATCATTTAGGCTTGATGAAGACTTGCTTTCTTTCTTTGAAATGCTTTGTGTGATCTTTGAAGTCCAAGTTTTTCTTTGATTTCTTGCAACTTTGATGCTTCCTTGAATCCATTGCTTGAATGTTTGGAATGCTTTGGAATGCTTTGGAATGCTTGGAATGGATCTTCTAGCTCATCATTGAGGATTAAATGTTGATCAACTATATATCACTCAATTAAAACATTAGTACTTAAACATCATTAATGGTTTGTAATCATCAAAACATAAGATTGACCTTTAGATAAAATCCTTAAGCCAACATATATATATATATATATATATATATATAGGTGTATCTCCGCCGTGTCCGTGTCCTATTTTTTTGAAATTTGCCGTATCGTCGTATTCGTGTCGTGTCGTATCCGTATTTTGTATATGTGTCCGTACTTCATAGGGATAAAAAAGTCTCCTAAATAGTTAAAAGGTAATTTAATTAATTTTTTTATATAAAAAAAATATTTTTATTTAAAAAAACAAGTAAGTTCCTCTTAATATCTTTTTGCCAAACTTAGCGTGAGTGTACTTTACCTGGATTAAATAAAATGTTGACCATACAAAAACAAGCGGTCGACTTGATTTAAGAAGACACTGAACTGAGCTTTAGTATCCACAGGCGGTGAAACGCACAGCTCTTTGTTTTGCAGGTTCTCTCTCCCCTCTCTCTGTATATGTGGTTATATTATTTACGCTTTCTTCAATGTCAATGTAAAAAGCCCTCTCTGAATTGTCTGATCTTGTACATGATTATGCTGTTCTGTTTAGATGCAAAATTAACACATTAATTGTAACTTTTGCTTGTGTTTGAAACAAATCTCGAAAACCTTGTAAGAAGTTCAAAGCTGATTCTCATCTTTAATTAATTAATTTATTTTTATTCAATTGCCTAGCTCATCCCCTCAAAAAGTTTTTTTGTTATGAACCACAAATTAAAGATCTTTATAATTAAGGAACAGATTTTGAGTCCTTGCGAAGTGTATAATTATTGCCTTTCTAGAATCGGGTAAGAGATCGTACTAGACCACTGAAATCTACTGATGTCAAGACAGTTTGTAAGTGTTGGTGATCATCTAAGTAAAGAAAATGATGAGTTGAAGGTTTTCAACTTACTTCTTTTTTTTGTTCTTCAAATAGAATCCCTCCAACAATGAGATTTAGGGTCAAGTTCTGATGTCTAATCCTTATTGAATAGGTGTATAAAGAGTTCTTGAAATTTATCTGATTCAGAAGGTGGATAATTTTTCTTAATTGCTTTGTAATTGAGTGAGTTTTTTTTTTTTTTTTTTTTGTTAACTTGATATATCCTTAAAAGTGGGTTTAACCTGACCTCCCATGGAAGATGGGGTTGCAGTTTGAATGAGAAATGTAGTATGGAAGAAATAACTTTAGTTAATAGGAAATCATACTTTGCGTGGTTGTGTATAAATTGTTTAACCACCTCTAGGTTTGTTATTTCCACCTCAAGGACTAAGAATTTTTCTTCTTTTTTCCTCAAAAAATTATAGATTTTTTTTCCCTAATTGGAACTGGATTCAGATCACCCTCAGAAAAAGAAAAGGAAAAAAAATGGTAGAAGAGGCGCTCGGGTGGGTGGGGAGTTTGGGGGTTCAAAACACTATCTTAACTCTATTTGAACCATGTAACAAGTTTAGAAGACCTTTTTTGTTTTGGGTACAGGGCTACGGTACATAAACTGCCCTGATATCCACGACTGGGTGACAGTGTAGTTGATTAAATACCAATGTCATGCATAGGTCTTGTAAATGGATTAAATTCTGATGACATGATACTCTTGATCTGGTAAACGTTATATGATACACTAACCAATGTCGAACCAAATTGCATTTGTTAATTTACGAAGTGATCTTGGACTTATGTTGATCTAACCCAATTAAACAATATATTATGTGTAAAGAACTATGTGGTATGACACATTTATATAATATATATACTAGGAGTAACAATTTGATGTGGATTGTTAAATAACTAAGATCTTACCATGGACATGGTGTTTTTTTTTTGTATATTTCTTCAAGTATCTCAGCTTGATAAAACCACAGAATTTTAATTTTTTTTTTTTGTTTTAGTATGTAAAATTCAACTCATTGTCCAAAGTTTATTTATTAAATCTTCTCTGATTAGACTGATTACCAGAATGAAGATCCAATTTTTAAGAAATTCAATTCAGTTATTAGTTTTCTTTTGATAAATAAAAGATTCATCAAAAAAATGCTAAAAGGAAGGTAATATATTTTTTTTGCTAAAACGAGGGTGGCACCCATTTAGACATGAAGTATCCAGTAGCACGCTAACACTAAGCTCCATCCAAATAACTCAAGCCTTTCTAAGAAATTAAAGGAATAATTTCCCTGACATACATACCAAAGGGAGCTCAATGTCATTTAGTTTTTCTTTAAGCTTAGGAAGCAGCAACTCCACCTTGAAGCGGCATCTTAACCTTCAAAAGTTCATGTATTGCGCTTTACTACATACAGGTATCACTTTTTTCTTTCTCTTTAAGATCCCTGCAACTAATCTGGGCATTACTTAGTGAACCTTATAAAGAAAAAAAATCCCAGATTAGTTGCAGGAATCTTATTCAGCTCATAAGGGGGTTGCCAAAGGGGAAAAAAAAAGGAAAAAAAGAAAAGAAAGAAAAAGAAGGTGAAGAAAAAGTGACCAAGAAGTCAGTGGCCTAGCGGTACCAAGCCCCTACTTCTCAAAGGGAGGTCAGGGGTTCAAACCTCAGTGGAGCCATGGGTGTGTGAGTACCAACTAAGAAAAAAAAAAAAAGCTCCAGAGTCTAGCAATACTGTAGTGCAGTAAGAGGTAATTAACTGTCTTTCCTCCACTTGCATACAACACCAATTAGGAAGCAGTTTGTCCCTAGTAGGTTTTCAGCTGTCAAGATTGCTTCCTTGGTTGTTGCTCATTTCAAATATCCACCTTCGAAAGCACCTTATTATGTCAAATAGCTTTCTGAGAAAGCGTGAAGCACCCTCACTGGACAACATCATTTTATAAAACGATCTCGCCTCAAATTACTATTCCTAGATATCCTCCTCAATACATCATGCGAATCTCCAAAACTGAGGGACGTTACAGCAACCCAAAGAACTCACCCACTACTTTCTACTACAAATTCTGTGTGACTCTGCTAGAGGATCTAAATCACTCCACTATTATCAAAATCTCAAATAGTCCCCCTCCTCATCAACTTTTATGCCAGAGTGGTATAAAAGATCCACTTTCAAGGTAACAACTATACAACAAATTTTATTCCAAACCAAAAGTAACTTCAAGAAATTTAAACGTTCTTTCTTGATGCTTTTCTAATCCAACCCAATGCAAACTTCTATTGTCATGTCAGATTTTTTAAACAGTTCCAATTAGAGTGCTTTTCCAATGCCTCAAATTCTGATCACCTACAATCCACCTCAATCAGATTTGTTACTGTCTTAGTTAAAATAATGAGTCAACAAATTACCCTAACACAACCTAATAACCATTTAAACATAAATTTATTGAAGCAAAACAAATTTAAGTGCATCCTTGGATGTAAAAATCACAACATTGCTCCTATCAACTTTTCACCTGGAAGAGTTCTCAATTACCATTTGTGTTTCAGACGCATCCATACAAACTTAAAAATCGTGGCATCAAATTCATGGATAATGTGAAACTTATCAACAAAAACACCACCAAAAAAAAAAAAAAAAAAATCATAGACAACATGCTCACTTGCAATTTCAATGCCCGTTTCAATTATATACTTTGTGGTTTATACTTTGGTTCACGAACAGTTGATATGTTTTTTGAAATACCCATGTTTGAAGAGACAAGGTTATGGCAATGGAATATTTATGTACTACGTTTACTAACAAATACTTGCCAAAGTTGACTGTCTGGTTGTCCAATGTTTCTCCTTTCGACACATGGACATTTCAAAGCAAGTGTATGTATCCATGTTGAAGAAGCTAGTGTACGTACAAGTATTAATCGATTGACGTAGCTAGTGTTGTTAGGGGCTTATTTGTTATTACTTATATAATATTGTGTGTTAATGTGTAATTTTTTTTTTATACTTGTTAGCATAAATAGAATGTGGTGGAAGGATGAAAGTATTCTTTCATTCTTTTTCTCTTTCCCCATTTTTCTCTCTTTCCTCCTCTTTCTTCTCTTCTTCTACTTTACTTATGTTTTGATTATCTCTTAAAGTCATCATGGTATCAGAGCATGGTTCGTAAAACTCTAGAAACCCTAGGGTAAGTTTGTGTAAACTCTAACGGGTTTTGAAGAGATTCCAAGATGGGATTTTGTTGAATCTTTTGATTTAAATTGTGAAACATGTGTTTTTGCCAAACAATGTCATGTTTCTTATCCTATTAGTATTAATGAAAGTACAACTCCTTTGCAGCTTGTTCATTCTAATGTTTACTTGGTTTTCGCTATTTTGTGTTTTGTTGATGACTTTAGTTGTTATACTTGGCTTTATCTTATGAATACCAAAGATGAAGTTTATTCCATTTTTAAAACTTTGCATAATATGATATGTACTCAGTTTGGTTGTCCCTTCAAAATCCTTCGATCTGATAATGGAGAGTTTATTTATGGTGGTCTTGCCTCCTTTTTTGCTAATAACGGGATTGTCCATCAAACCTCCTGTGCCGATACACCACAACAGAATAGTGTAGCTGAAAGAAAACATCGTCATATTACAGAGGTGACCCATTCTCTTCTAGTTAGGATGGGAGTGCCTAAAGGTTATTGGGCTGATGCAACCTTAACAACCACATACCTTATTAATCCCATGCCTTCTACGGTTCTTGGTTATTAATCCCCATTTTCTATCTTACGCCGTCACACTGCCTTGGTTATTGTCCCTTTGAAAGTGATCAGTTGTGATTGTTTTGTTCACATTCATCATCGTAAGGACAAAATTGACCCTAAGGCAATCCGATGTGTCTTTCTTGGATACTCTGCCACTCAGAAAGAGTATTGGTGTTATAACCTTACCACTAGCATCAATTTGTCTCTATGGATGTCATTTTCTTTGAATTTGTTCCTTTCTTTTCCACTGCTCGGGACTCTATAGGGAGAGAATACAATTCATGTAGATAATCCGTCTTCCATTCAGAGGGAATGCCCCTTTCCATTTCCTGTTCCATTCAGGGGGAGCTTCTCACTGAGGTACCTATGTCTACTCCTCCTAACGCTAATTGTCTATACTAGGAGGGCAAAACAAGTCATTGACTTTCCCCAGGACCAAGAAGTCTCCCTCGATCCAGGTAATCCCTCAGTTGACATTGATACTCCTGATTCTTTTCCCAATAACATTCTTGTTGATCTTGATGTCCCTATTGCCTATCGTAAGGGTGTTTGTAGTTACAAAACTTCCCATATCTCAGTTTGTATCCTATGATGCCTTATCTCCAGCATATCATAGTTTGTATCCTATGATGCCTTATCTCCAGCAACTGTATGATGCATATAGTTGCCAAGATGATTCTATACGTGTCCTTTTTTTGGCAGCTAATTTGAATTGGCTTTTACATCTGTAAAGAATGCTTTCCTTCATGGCGACTTGAAGGAAGAGGTGTATATGACTATGCCACTAGGTTTTAAACTTGCCAATGGTCAAAATGTAGTTTGCAAGCTAAATAAAGCCTTGTTTGGGTTAAAACAATTGTCGTGTGCTTGGTTTAAGAGGTTCAACACTGCTGTGAAAATAGTAGGGTATACACAGAGTCGTGCATATCATATTCTCTTCATTAAAAAGCAATAGGGCTGCATCACTACCCTTATTGTATATGTTGACGATATTGTTGTCATTGGAAATGATCTGGAATGAAGTCATTCTTAGGGACAAAGTTCGAGGTTAAAGATCTCGGATCATTGAGATACTTTCTTGGCATCGAGGTGTGTAGATCCAAGAAAGGGGTGTTCATTTCTCATCAAAAGTATGTGTTGGATTTGTTGGCCTATTGATATCCCCATTGAGCGAAACCATAGGCTTAATGATGTGGATGGCGACCCATTAGGTGATAAAGAACCGGGCCTGGCCCGAGAGCTTGAAGTCCATACGGCCCATGCCTATTATTGGAGACGTGGGAAGGGAAGATAGAATTAGGGATTTTTGAGTTTTATTATTATTATTTGATTTTAGGATTTTTATTTATGGTAATAGTTTGATTATGGTTTTTCTTCTATCCCTATATAAGGTTGGTTAAGACATTGTGAAAGAGATCTTTTGATGATTATTATTGATTTTGAATTTTGAGATTATCGTGAATTCTTCTTCTCTTCCGAATTCTCTTCCCTCTATCCTTCTTACCTTTCTCTCTCAATCTCTTTCTGATTCCACTTGAATTCTGATTTTGAATTGCCCCTACCCACTGCTGCATCAATTGGTATCAGAGAAAAATATTCAAGGCTCAGCCATCATCTTTTTTAGCAAAGGAAAAAAAAAGAAAAGAAAAAGTTCAGCAATAATCATTCTTAACCTTACTGATCACACATAGTACACTCACTGTCTGTTCATTGTCTTCTGTCATCCACCCAAAATACCTCTATCCGCTGCGTCCAAAACCCCACCACAATCCATCCATCCGTCTGCCCTAAACCAGCCCCTGTTCATTTAGTTCTTCACCCACTCTAGTGAAAACCATAACAGTTAATCTTTCCGGAGTTTTCTCGTTGCCGCCGTCACCATCATTACATCTCTTGCTGTCAGCCAGCCCGTCGCCGAACAGTTTCACCAGAGTTTCTTTTTGATCATTGCTGCCAATCGCAACTTCAGCCGAGAATTCAGTATTTGATTTTGGGAAGTTGAATTTAATTCAGCGTCATCTTCGCAATTTTTGAAAGTCAGCTTTGGATTATCGCTTTGGAAAGATCAGGCTTGGGAAATCATAATTGAATTGGAAAGGATATATTTTGTTTTCCTTTTATATCAGATTTGACCAAACTCAAATTTAAATTAAAGTGAGATCTAATCAGGCCTAGGAAGCAGTGATCCTGATCCATCCGGCCCAACTCAAGTTGTCCCGGCTTCAAATTACTACTGTATGCGCCTTGCCAGATTAAAATCAGCCCAGCTTCAGAACAGGCCCATCCCAACAGTGATCCAGTATTAAAAAAAAAACCTCAGCCCAAGTTCAATACTCGGTCAGAGCCCAGATATATGATTCAGCTCAGCCTTGTTTGGTTATAGATTGAGAACTATTCAAGTTAATTTCTGAAACCAGTTCAGGTTTGAACCAGTTCTGCAGTTGGCCAGTTTTGGAGAAGAAGAAGAAGAAGAAGAAGAAAGTAAACAGAAACAGAATTTCTATTACAGTTCTTCAGCCACTTTTGGGTAATCTTCAACACTTGGGAGCTACAGAGGACTTCGGAAAAGGTACACATCAGTTTAAATTGTTATTAGTACTTTTATCCAATTGATTAATTAGAAACGCAGAAGGTCCTAATTGAATCCATTTGATTTGATTCTTCCAACAGATTATTTACTTCAATTTTTATTTAATTTTTGTTCCCACTATTATCAAAAAAAAAAAAAAATTTACTATTTTAGATACTCACACTAGTGCATGACTTCTAGCATAATCGATTTCTTTGCATTCAGATTCCTTAGTTGTGCATTGTACTAGTTTATAATTTAGTTTACTTAATTCAATTTGAGTTCTATATCGGCATTATTCTTAACCATTCTTATGCCGATGCCATCCTCTTGAGATTATCATGTTTGGCCGTGACATGTCTTATTCACAATCTGCACTGAAACGACGAAATCATGATGCATTTGTTAATTGGTACCCTAATGAATATGTTAGGGAAGAGAGATTTGTTTCCCCAAGATTTAGGTAGAACATTAGAAATGATCGCTACCATTATTTTAACGAGTTCAAATGCCAATACTGTGACACTTTTGATTATGATGAGTCCATATGCTATTGTTGTGATGCTTTTGATAGTTCAAAATCATATTCCACTATGAAAATTCTAGTTGGCAAACCCTATCGCTTCTTAGAGTGTGGATATCCACCCGAGTATCCACCTGGCCTAGATGATAGTGGATCGTTTCCAGACCTTGGGGGAAATCATATGGAAGATGAGACTTGTAATAATGACATGATGTGCATCCCATATATTCTTATGGGAAAAGATGATTGGACGCGCTCCGACATCTTTCATACATATCTCAGATTTGGAGAGAGAGTTTACAAAGTAATCATAAATGGAGAATGTTCAATGAATGCAGTGTCAAAATCTGGTGTTATTAGAATGAAACTTAAATCTGAACCTCATCCACAAACCATATGAGATGTTCTGGGTTGATGGAACTTTCTTGACTGTCACAGAAAGGTGTTTAGTTCCTATTCAAATGGGAGTTTATTTTGATGACATTTGGTGTGATGTTTTACCCTTGACTGCAGCCCACGTGCTACTTGGTCTCCCTTGGATTTGTGGCTTGAATGTGACTCACCATAGCAAGGAGAATGATTACCGATTCAAATATATTGGAAAAACTCTCATGCTAAGGCCTGTAAAGTGACCAGAAACAGATTCTAAGACACTACAAATTTCTTCTTCTCCGCCTAATGACCACAAACCTGTGTTGGCAGAAGAAGAAAAAGTGACTAATGATGTCCCCATGTCACATATGAGGAGGTGTTGGATTCTCCACCACCTAAATGTGTTAATGAATAAAAAATGGAACAATTGAGGAACCTCCAACTAAATTGCCACACATGAATGTCGAGCAATACACCATTGCCTTAGCCCCAGGATCATATTCATTTGATGTCCTATAAAACCATACACATCCTAGGGAAAATGTTGAACTGAATGGAGCAAATGATGAATTTGCACAAAATAAGGTGACTCAAGATTGTCGCCAAACAAGGATGTCAAGTATAATAGTAATTTCTGGAAGACACTTTGGACATTCTTAGGAACAAATTTGAAGTTTCCTTTTGCATCTTGTCCTTTAAATGATAAAAAAATTGAGGTTGTGAATCAAGGTCTAGGAAAGATGGTTAGTTTTATTATTAGCATGCACCTAGACACTTGGAACTTGTTTTTACCTATCATGGATTATATTTATACAAGTGTGACTAATCAAAGTACTGGTAGTTGTCCTTTGGAGATTATCTACAGTTCTTTGCCATGCCAGTCCATTGAATATTGTCATCCACTTTCAAGTATGTATTCACTTGAGTTTGTTGATTCCTTCATTCAGCTTGTTCATGATTTTTATGCCGATATGCGACAAGAAATTGTCTTAAGTAAAAAGAATTATGAACTCATTGCATATGCTTATCATAGGAATCATGAATTTAATGAAGGAGATTATGCTATAATATGTGCACTACCTCAACCTTATCCTAAAAACTCCTTCCAAATAAAACATGCAAAAATTGTTGGAATTTTCCACGTCATTCAAAAATCTGGACCTAATGCATATTTCTTTGACTGGTCATTGGATCTGAGTACTAATTCAATTTTTGATGTGGAGTATTTGTTATCTGACCGAGGCACCTTTGAGCCTCCTATTTTATTGGCATGTGTTCCTACAGGTGGATTTACATTTTCCTCCACACCGGCATTAGTTCATCTATCTTTTCAGCCGCAATATATGGATTGGACAAAGGATATTGTTGATTATCAGAGTGATGCCCTCATCTTGGAGATATTGAGTATTACCTTTTTCGATGGAGATATACTTATGCATTTACCAGACGGAGTAATGACCCATACTTTTTGGAGATATACTTATGCATTTAGTCTCCGGAGGAGAGTTCTTCTCAACTGGGAGGGAAAGTTGAAGAACCGGCCTGGCCTAAGAGCTTGAGGTCCATACGGCCCATGCCTATTATTGGAGACGTGGGAAGGAAAGATAGAATTAGGGATTTTGACTTTTATTATTATTATTATTATTATTTTATTTTAGGATTTTTATTTATGGTAATAGTTTGATTAGGGTTTTTCTTCGATTCCTATATAAGGTTGGTTAAGACATTGTGAAAAAGAGCTTTTGATGATTATTATTGATATTGAATTTTGAGATTATCGTGATTTCTCCTCCCTCTGAATTCTTCTTCTCTTTTGATTTCTCTTCCCTTTATTCTTCTTACCTTTCTCTCTCAATCTCTTTCTTATTTCACTTGAATTCTGATTTCGAATCGCCCTTATCCACTGCTGCATCATTAGGTGATGTGGGAAGATTTTAGCGATTGGTTCGGAGACTGATTTACCTATCTCTCACGCTCTCGGATATTGCCTAAGCTTTTAGTGTGATTAGTCAGTTTATGCATGCTCCATGTACACATCATCTTGAGGCAACTGATGATGTTCTCTACTACCTCAAGGATTCACCTGGCAAGGGGTTATGTATGGCCGTCATAGTCACTTGCGTGTTGAAGCCTATACGGATGCTAATTGGGCAGGGTTTGTGAACAGATCGACGATCTACTTCAGAATATTACATGTTTGTTTGAGGTAATCTTGTTTCATGGCGAAGCAAGAAGTAGTCTGTAGTAACTTGATCTAGTGGTGAGGCTGAGTTCAGATCCATGGAACATGGAGTTTGGGAGTTGTTATGGTTACGAACTATGTTGGATGAGTTGGGTTATCCTGCTCGCGAGTCAATGAAGTTGTATTGTGAAAAGAAGGATGCTATTAGCATTGCCCACAATCTAGTTCAACATGACATGACAAAGAACATGGAAGTCGATTGACACTTCATCACGGAAAAGCTTCGTCTTGGGCTGATTTGTACTCCATACGTCAACACACATAATTAGGTTGTTGATGTTTTGACTAAGGGTGTGAGCAAGGCTTACTTGCAAAATATGTTAGTCAAGCTGGGCATGATAGATATCTTTGCACTACCGCGCTGGGGGGGGGGGAGGATATAATGTTGGGTGCTTATGTGTAATTTCTGAAATTTGATAGTATAAATAGAATGTGGTGGAAGGATGAAAGTATTTTTTCATTCTTTTTCTCTCTCCTTTTCTCTGCTCCTCTTTCTTCTCTTCTTCTTCATCTTCTTCTACCTTTCTCTTGTTTTGATTATCTTTTAAAGTCAGCAGCTACAACTGTTAACAAATTTAAACAAAAAAGATAGCAAATCTTTCCTGTAACTATTTCTCTCCATGTCCATTCTAGAATGCATTATGTTGCATGCACTTGGCCACTCCACATAGTCTGGGGCTAGCGGAAGCACGTGGACATGAAGATCCAATCACAAACTATAGGAAATCACACACAAATATAGGATTCAACATGGTTGATACACCTCGTCCTACGTCGACGGATGAGTAGAGATTTTACTCTAAGCATGTAGAGATATTATAACGATAGAGAAAACCTAACATCAGACCATGTACACAATCCTTCTCCAGGGTATGGTGCTTGATACTTGAGCGTTTCACGTGTACCACTCTACGAGACTACCTGCTCGCCATCAATGTTCTCTCCACTCTATCAACCCATAAACAACATCTCTTTGGGCTGTGAGAAATAGAGGAGCCATGACCTTCACAAACCATCTTTTGCACTAGTTAAATCTCTTACATCTCTCACCTTCCCATGAGTTTCAATCCATAACCTATGAATCTATTTATAGAATCCTACGCTTTAAAATAGAAACCTAACTATTTGAGACACAATTCCTAACAATCTCCACCTTGGCTCAAATTTCATCAAGCTAATCATCTGACGGTACTAATTAGAACAATTCGTTGTAGCTTCAATCTTGCACACAAACCAGATCATTGTTTAGGCTAGGGCCTTCCACCTAGGGACTCAGTTCCGTCTTCCTTTTCGGATTGCATGCCAAGTTGTCATAATCCTCTTGCAGAAATCTGATCATCCATGCTCTAAGCTGCTTGCAGTCAAACCTCCACCTTAATTAGTCGAGCTCCATGCCATATAACCCATCACAGTTTTTTTGACTATTGCGACAGTCAAACGACAAACTCCACCTACAACAAAACCTCGAAGCAGTATGTGTTGAGACTTCTTACTAGTTTATTATTTGTTCTTGGATATCCATGTGTTGAGCCGAACTCCTTAAGACAAACCTTCGCTCCGATATCACTTATTGGGTCAGCGGAAGTGCCCACACACGGATATCCAAGTACAAATAATAAACTAGTAAGAAGGTTTTCTGCGTTCCCAATGTATGTCCTGTCTAGGTGGGATGGTGGGAGGGAGTATTAGGGACAGACTTAAGCTTTGTTATTATGTTTGCAAAAAGTGGCTGTTCAGGGATTTGAACTGCTTACTTGTGAGTTCAAGTTTTAACAATTGCATCACGCAATGAGGGGATTTTTTGTAATTATTTATTAAGACTTGTTATCTATATTCATGTAAACAAATGTTTTTTTCACATTGGTTTGGAGTTTGGACCCAACGAGCAAACAAATTCCTAGAAAACTTAGAATTGTTGTGTATCTGGTGACCTGTATGCATGTAGTTCAGTTTTTCTAGCACTGTGTTGACCTTTTGAGTTTGAAAAGTTTGATACGCCTTTTATCTTGTTGACTTTTGCATTCATTGAGAAAAGGGACTAGAAATGGTGAGTGCATGAGTTTATAATGCATTCAAAGTCGAGAGAACGTGCAACAATTGGTTTTGGCATGGTTTTATTCTGTTTATCTGATGATTTATTGCTTAGACAAGAACTCTAACACAAATTTCTTGTATTCATTTTGTTAGAATTCTACTATTAATTCCTTTATTAAAATTATGCAGTGGAATTTCTTGCATCAGCAATGGCCCAGAATACATTGGCACAGCGGAAAGAGGAGATAATTGAACTGTTAAGGGATACAAAAGTCAAAACAATTGTTCTCGTTGGGGAATCTGGAATTGGTAAAACATGGACTGCCAGAGAAATAACCAGGCGCGCAATTAAGGATGACTTGTTCGAGTTCATCCTTTGGGTGTTTCTGAACAGAGAATATGACAGCAGTGCTCTCCATGACAGCATTGCTCGTCAGTTGTGTCTACTTCCCACCGCTGAGGAGGGGGAAAGTGAGGATGACAAAGAGGAGGCAGAGAAGGAGGAGAATGGGAAAGCCTTGCAGCAACAGATATATGCAACACTTGAAGGAAAGAGATTTCTTATAATTTTGGATGATGAAGGAAATAAAATGGATGAAAAACGGATTATGTCCGAACTGGAAACCCTGCGGAATATTAGCCAGCAAAGCTCATGTAAGGTTTTAATCACTAGCGTGAGCAACCACATTAATACAGAAACGAAGAAAGTGTATGAGGTGAAGCCTTTATCCATGGAAGAGTCATTTTCCTTATTGCAAGAAAGAGCGGGGACATCAGTTGAAGTTCCTGGTATTAAATCGTTAGCTGAAACTTTAATAGAAAAGGCTAGAAGGTTACCTGCTGCAGTTCTTGTGCTGGCAAAAGCTTTAAGACAACATGACTCGGGGGTGCGGTTGCTAGAAAGTGCTTTGGAGGAAGCGTCTGATAATGAAAGATATAACATAACACAGTTACTATGCACTGGGTATGGCATGCTGCCACTCAGTGTTCTAATCGATTGCTGTTGGCATGGCAGCCCCTTCTTCCGCAAAGGTGGAAGCATTCATTACAATGAGTTGATAGCTTACTGGATGGTTGAAGGATATCTTGGTCACATCGATTGTATTGAGAAGGCTTATGAGAAGGGCCATCATACTTTGATGGAGCTTATAGATTATGGGATACTGAAAAAGGTGGAGGCTGATTACATTATCATGGAAGGAGCAATGATGAATTTGGATGACTACCATTGTTGTGGATTTGGTGGGGTATCCAGTCTTGGATTGGCTAATGTGTTTGTGAATAGCAAGTGGGAAGGCCTTGGGAAAATCACATGGGCTGATGGTATGATAAAAACACTTTGTGCTGGTAAACAAGGGCATAAACCCTTGACATTGCTGCTCGATGGAACCCGTCTTGGCAGGGAAGTCCCAGACAATTTCTTTGATTCCAAGCAGGATCTCCGAGTTCTTGCTCTTTTTAACCCAACTCTGAAGTCACTACCAAGTCCCTTGGATAAAATGGTTGATCTTCGTGTGCTTGTGCTCAGAGGCTGTGAATTTTTGGAGAAAATTGACCACACCCAAAAACTTAAAAATTTAACTGTTCTTGAGATATCTGGTGCTACCTCCTTGAAAACAATCCCAAATGATTTTCCTGATGATCTTTTTCAGCATATGCCCCACCTTCAGAGCCTCAATATGTCTGCAGTCCAGATTGACAAGTTACCTTCATCTATTTATGAACTTAGTGAACTATGCTGGCTCATCCTTAAAGGGTGTTCTCGCTTAGCAACACTGGAAAGTTTGAGAAAACTTAATAAACTTGTGGTGCTTGATCTTTCTGGTGCTACCTCCTTGAAAACTTTCAAAGACAAAACCTTTGGTCAAAACAAGGAACTTAAAATGCTTGATCTTTCCCAGACCCAGATTAAAAGCTTACCAAAACTTCTGAATCTTGGAGATCTCACTCATCTCTCACTAAGTGGCTGCAAAGTCTTAGATAGACTACCCAGTCTTCAGTCACTGAGCAGTCTACAAAAGCTTGATCTTTCAGGTGCTGAAAAGTTCAATGAATTCCATGAGCATTCATTAAAAAATAGTGCTGATCTTAAAATCCTTGATTTATCAGAAACTGCTGTTAAATGTCTCCCTTCCAACATTAGCAATCTTCATCGTCTCTTTTTAAGACGATGCTCTCAGCTAAAAAGCCTATCTGGCACTGAAGGACTAAATAAAGACCTCGAGATACTTGATCTCGCAGGTACTCATAGTCTGGTCGAAATTGCAGCCAAATTCTTTGAATATCTGAGGTCCCTTCGAATCCTTAACCTCTCAGAAACCAATATAAAAGCATTACCATCCATCGTCAATCTTTGTAACCTTCGTCAGCTTGATCTTTCAGGATGTAGTGCTTTGACAACAATAGAAGATAAATCTTTTGAGCATATGTCTCGCCTTCAGAAACTTGACCTTTCTGGAACAAAGATTGAATACCTGCCATCCCTTTCAAATTGTAGCAACCTTCGTCACCTCTTACTCAAAAAATGCACTAATGTGAAGGTACTTCCACAGATTGAATCTCTTTCAAAACTTGAGGAGCTAAACTTATGTGGTATCAACTCTTTGAAAGAAGCTAGGGCTAATTTCTTTGAGAAAATGGGCAATCTTCAGATTCTTGACCTCTCGGAAACCCAGCTTGAACAGTTACCATCCATGGAGAACCTCAAAAACCTTCGTCAACTTTCTCTGAGAGGTTGCCCACACTTAAAAATGGTGCTAGAATTGGAAGCGCTTACAAAGCTTGAGATTCTGGATCTTTCTGGAACGGCAGTTGATTCTCTACCAGCATTTAATGATTTTAGCAACCTCCGGTCTCTGATGCTTACGGATTGCTTTTGCTTAAAAGATTTTCTGCATCTGAAGGTTCTTGATCTGTTGGGAGCCACTGAAGTAGAACTTCCCTATGGGATCTCAAAATTGACTTGTCTTGATCACCTTGATCTGCCAAACATGGACAATATTCAAAAAGCTGAAAGTGAAAATGTTAAGGCCCCACTAAAAGATCCAAATCGGTATCAGTGGAGCCTCTCCGGTTTGCCAGTTGAAACATTCGCGAACAATGTCAGATCTCTCATATCTGTGAGTAGTACTCAATTTCGTCAAGTTTTGGAGAAAAATCCCTCCTTGTGGGAAACAAGCTTCAAGCAATTTCATTTCTGTGTTCATCCAGTTGATGGGCAAAATAAAAATGGGGACAGATTCTTTTGCCGAAATGAACTTATCTTCAGGGATATCCACTTACAAAGTAGGCAACTTGTTCATTGGAAAGAAGGAAGATCATTGGAGATTTGCGGATTTGATCATTTTCCCAAGGGTATTGAGGATGTTCTCAGTCATACTGACTGTTTACTTTTAATAGATAATATGGCTGAAAGATGGTTATCTGATTTAGGAGCCTCCAACCTCAAGGTAATGAAAGGATGTTGGATTGAGAGATGCAGACAAATGGAGAGTGTTTTTCATGCAGAAGAAACCGAAGATATTGCTAAAGTGGGGGAAAATTTGGAAATTCTAGGTGTTTCAAATGCTGTTAGTTTAAAGAGCATATGCAGTGGAAGCCTGCAATGCGAGCTCTTTCAAAACCTGAAGTGTCTGTATCTAGATTGCTGTCCAGAGCTTTCAAATGTTTTCTCTTCATCCCAGCCGCCAGTGAACCTCAAAGTTCTTCATATTAAATTTTGTGATAAATTGGAAACCGTGGTTGACCAAATGTCACCAGATCACCCTGGATTGCTAAAATTAGACATACTGCATCTGTTGGAGCTACCACAATTGAAGAGCATTGGGTGCAAGTTGCCATCTCTACAAACTCTAAAGGTCCGGCAGTGTCCAAAATTGCAGAAGTTGGAAGAATATATCAATTTGGCTGAAAGTTTACAGATTTTATTGATTTCCAATGTTACTGATTTGAGGAGCATATACACTGGCATAAGGCAACCCGAGTGCTACAAAAACCTTAAAACTTTGATTCTTGAGAGTTGCTCTATGCTTGTAAATGTTTTCTCTTCGCCCCAGCCACCAATGAACCTTGAGACTCTCCAAATCAAATCTTGTGATAAATTGGAGACTCTGTTTGAACACAGCTCATCAGTGGACTATACAGTGCCAGCGCTGCACACTTTGCATCTGCAAAAACTGCTGAAATTGAAGAAGATTGGGGGTAAATTTCCATCTCTACAGAATCCAATTGTCAATGGATGCCCAAATTGCATCGACCTCCCAGTGGCGTGAATGACAAGGTTTCTGTTACTTATCAAAGATAATGACATGGGACGAAGAAAAAAGGTGATCAGAGAAACAGAAACTGACTGGAAACAAACTTAACCCATGTCTCATGCTAGATGCTCAAGGCAAATTCCCTTGAGATGCTGAACAATTCTCACCTTTAGCATTCCGCATCAGATTTCAGGTTTTTGTTATAAGTTTTTTTTTTTAATTCCCTTCTTTTTATACGCACAGCATCCTTGTTTCATCTTTTCCACTGTACTCCCATCTACATCCAGCTAAAATAATTATTTCATTTTGCCTGCTTTTTACTCTATCATGACCTTCTTGATGTTTCAGTTCACAAGTCATCTATCACACAATGAGAGCCAATCTTTTTTTGTTCATTACTTGAGTTATGCTAAAAGTGTTATATCTTTTATTTGTGATATTGAAGGTCAGGGTAAAACAGAAATTACTGATTTCAGGTTGCAGTAATTGGTGTTGTGCCATTAGGCTGTTTGTGTTTTGTGAATATTTTTGTTGTCTGGATTTATTGATATGTAGTACTCACCTGACAGGATTGGCAATGAGTGTACATAAATGCGTAAAAATAATTCTAATGGTGCTCATGCACTTCTTGGTAGTTAAATATTGGGGGAAAGAATCAGGGGAACTAATTATACGAACTCAATATTTATTGATTCAATCCTTCTCAAGTTGTAAGGCTTGGGGTAGAGGTTTTTCATCACTACCTACTGTCACACCTCAATATTTATCAGAATGAGTTTTAAGTGAAAGAAATTATGAGTGAAGCTAAAGCAATGAGGATTGTAAAGTTTACACAATAGCCTTGTAGATTAGTTTGGGAGTTTCCACATGACACTACAGGTGTCTTGGGTCAACTTCAACAAATGGTTTTTGAAGATTAATGTACTAATAGAACGATTTTGTAATAAAAGTGACTAGGTATTTGAAAATGCCTTTTTGAACTAGTGACTTCAGAACCATTGATCATGGTCATAATTTTAGAGGCTCTATTTAATACGCACAAGACATTCATAAATATTGTTACTACATTTCCTTGTATCATTCCCATAGGGCCATATCTTTACCAAATTAAATTATCAGAAGAGTGCATAGTTTTTTATGTTGTGTACTAAAAATGGAACAAGTTTTAAAAAATGGAACAAGTTTTAAAAAATGAAAAAATGTTTTGAAAACCACAAAAAGAATTTTTTTAAAAAACAAAGAAAATATGTCTTGGAAAATCGAAATTGTAAAATGTTGTTTCAAGAAAAGAGAGAACCACAAAAATATGTTTTTGAAAATATGAGAAAAAACACTAGTAATGCAATTGATTTCCTCCGGAGGGTTTCTCTGCGATATATGTGAAGAGTTACTTTATTTATTAGTCATCTCATGAATTTCTACTTAAAAATAAGAAATTAACATGTAAAATCAAAACAAAGGGAGACTCAAAATAAGATTTTTAGGAAAAAAAAATATGTTTGGGAATTGATTTGTAAAGTAGAAAAGCCAAGAAAATATGTTTTTAGCCTTCTTGGAGGTAGTAGGTTTGTAGGTCATTTTTGGGTAGATTTGGATAATTTTGTTACCCCCTAAAGGACACTGGCATTTTTGTCATGTTAAAAGTAATAAAATTACTCCAACTTGTATTAGATTTTCATTTATGCATGCATGGAAGCAAAATAACACCTAGGAAATGGTATATCACAAGTAAGAATAAGTGCTGGTTCTATTTTCGAAAACTTTGTGTTGGGACAGCGGAAGCGCACGAATAAGAAAGATTCAAAGAAAGCCAATAAAGCAAGCACACACAAACACAAGATATACATGGTTTAGCCAAAACGGGCCTACGTCCATGGATGAGAAGAGATTCCACTATGATTCGTAGAGATATTACAACAATAGAGTACCAACACCACGTACATGTTATTTTACCATGTACCACTCCACGAGCTTATCTCCTTGCTAACAGTGCCACTGGTGTTTTTCCTACTCTATTAACCCATAAACTACCTCTACCCATCAACTATCTCACGAGATTACTTCTCTCATTCTCATACGTCTCAACCCAAACCCTATGTATCTATTAATATAGTTCCAAACCCAATTCCTTGTTGAACAAGGATTACAATTTCTTAGAGTCCAAAACTTGCCAAACAAGAAATTGCCAAACAGAATACAATTCAAAAATTGAAACATAATTAGAATAGGAATTTGTGACACTTTGGTTGTAAACCTTGTGCTTGCTAAGGATGTTTCCTCCCTTTCATATCCCTTCATATTTTCCAAATTCGTTTGCCCTTTCCCTTTTACCTATTTTTGTGTCAAAACCATTTTGATCATGAATGTTACACATTAATTGGTATAGAGATTCATCTTAGTTGACTGATAAACTGCTTCTTTAGAAATGAAGGTTATAAATATATCATGAGAGCAGGATGACCACGAAGGAAAGAATTTTAGGCTTCTACATGAACTATAAGATCAACAGGCCTTAAGTTGACCTAGATTTGCTGAAGTTTCAATCCTTGGCAACTATCAGGCTTGTTTTCCTACGGCATCACACAGTCAAGGAGCTGTTGGAGTGGAAACTGAGAAAGCTTTTTATTTTAACATGTTGATGTATGAGGAGGTAGAAGCACTAATGATTGATGCTGCAGCTTCAGGCCTTTGCACTTTGGTTAGTAAAGTGTTGAACTCTTTTCATTGGTTTTGTTGTAAACAAATGGTATGGTACGTTTGGATTTAAGGATGTGGGTTAGATGGATTTGAAATCTGGGGCCCAAATCCATGGAACTGGTTTGGATATTTATTTTGGCCCATGGTTTTTAAATCCAGGCAAATCTGCTAACAAATTGGAGGACCAAAATCGTGGACGCGTCTCGACTTTCGATTTTGGCCTCATTCCCGAACTTTCAGCACCAACATAGCACTTTGAGGTACAACTAGCTCACTCACTCTCTCTCTCTCTCTGTGTGTGTGTATATATATATATATATATATATATATATATATATATCACATTCCTCTAATCTTTGTGCTTTTGAGTTTATTCGAAACCCAACCCTAATTTCTGGAATATATATATATGTATATATGTAGGTGAACTAGTCTACATGTTAGAGGTGCATTTTCATTGAATTTAACAATTATATCATCATTTTGTATGTATATACATAGAGATACATATATGCGATATCAAAATGGCCATCTATATATATTTTTTTGATAAGTCAAAATGGCCATCTATATTAATGAATTGAACGTTCAAGAGGTAGCTTCACGGCTTATTTCTCTCTTTGGTCCCTCAGAATGAAAATTCAATATCGAAAAGTTCAATTTATTCTCTTTAATATTTTTTCATGCCTCCCATTGATCATGCTAATTTTTGTTTGATCATGTTAATTGTCTAACAGTTTCTAGTTGGATATTTAATTTTCTTATTTTCTCATTCAGTTCTTTCATTGATGCAAATGTAATGTTTGTTACTAATTTATTTTCTTTACCTCTTGAAAAATTAAATTAAAAAGAAAAGAAAAGAAAAGAAAAGCTTTCGGGACAGGAAATACTAAAGTTAATGAATAGGAAAAAGTTGTACCAAATTCATCTACATGTATATTAAATACCATTATGGTTCTCATCCTTCTGCTTTTGAGACGTAATGTTATTACTACGGAGGAATTGTTTAAGTTGTTCCTGAATTCTTTTTTCCCTGGAAAGTGTTCCTGAATTCTAGTTGATTAAGTTGGCATGAAAATTTATTCCTGAATTCTAGTTGATTAAGTTGGCATGAAATCTATCCGCGGTGCAGCAGAATCTCTTGTGTGTTGAAACCTCATGTGAAAATAAAGGTCCTATGTGCTTTATGGATGTTTCTATCTACTCTTGTGATAGCATATTACTTACTACAGTAATTAATAGCTTTGGTGAACGATACCAAATGGTGCAAGTGAACGGGACGTCTAGCTCTGATTTTATCTCGAGCTAATTTAGAATTAAGTTTACCAGATGGAGGAAAAGAGGCATAGTACGGGCTATGGAAGTGAGAAACATAAAAAAGAACAAATCTCAATCTGTAGGGTTGTTTTAACAGTGAAATTTGTGGCACTGTAGCTACCATATATATTTGATGTGATGTCTTGTTTATTTATTTTGGTTATACTCGAGCAGCTTTCATCTAGCAAATTCTGTTGTTTATGAACTAGGTTTATGAAATCAAATATAGATGTTCTTATTTTGATGCATGTGGCATGCAAAACAAAGTGTGAGAAATTTTGGTGACATTGTTATCTTTTGTAGGAAGGATAGAGCCACTAGCCATGGTGCAGTGACATTTGAAGCAGCAGACAATTGAAGAAGAAAAATAAGGCAAATTATATTCTTTTGGCACTGCCATTAGGGTAAACCTTCACCTGAAGCCAATGTTGCGAACTCATTGAAGGAGTATTTAGTAAGTAAAAGCAAGAATGGCAATGACCTACCAGATTGGAGATGCATGAGGTGGTCACTGAAGTGCCTGGACTAACTAGAGAATGAGCGGCAATTTGGAGGAGTTTTTCAGTTTGTTGAAATCTTTTTTTGTTGAAGAAAACTTGGTGCGGATACAATTTTTTATTACATGGTTAGAAGATATTGTTATTTCTATTTTTTGTCATGATTCAATATGCTCAAATCAAACACTTGTTACCACTGCTATGATGTTGTTTTGTTTATGTCATGGGGCTTGTGATGTAATATCTTGTGATTTTTGGAGAAGAGAATACTAGATACATGGTGGTATACAGCATTGTGCTTTTCTCTAGTCTTGTTATTGAGAGCTTCTTGTTTTTTTTTTTTTTTGTTTTTTTTTAAAAAAAATCTAGTGAATTATAGTATTTTGTGAATATAGAGAGATTGATTTTACTAATCGATGAAACGTGGCATTAACTTTATGGTAAAATGCATAAAGCAGAGAAAAATCGCATGGCACTCTGATGATTCTGTTTCATTTCAGATCAACCGACAAATTTTGAAATCCATGGATTTCAAATTCATTATTGAATCCAAATCCGTGTTCCATAGGCAACCTAACAGCTTTCAGATACGAACATTGATAGCACTGTCTTTTGGAGTTATTGGTACATTCATTTGTTTTCTTTTTTAAACAATTAGCAATGGATGGAAACGAATTCTAAGACTTTTGAGAACACAGTACTTGAGCAAATCGATCAATGAGATCCTTGAAATCGCATTCCGGAGCAATGAAAGAATCCATTATTCACGACTAGAATTTGCTAGTGTCTTGCCTTCGGCCGCATCCACCAGATCACGCTGTGCGAGTTTAAACTTTTATTAAGGGTTAAGTTCCTTTGTTTGGACGTAAAATATTTTTTTAGAATAGATATATATATATATATATATATATATATATATATATATATATTTTGGTGTTTGGTTGTTGTAAAATATTTACCAAGAAAAAAAATATTAAATTTTTTCAAAAATAACTTATCCATCAATTTTTGACAAGTTATTTTACATACTCTGCCCGATGGACTTGACCTCAATCTCGATGTAAGTCTTTGCCAAACACCGTAACAATAAAAAAATATTTTACTTAAAAAAGAAAAATATTTTTCAAAAAGAATACTTTATGTCGAAACAAACGGAGCTAAGTGCAGAAATCTCCCTATAATATAGATTATGTGCACAATTAGTTCCTCTTTTTTAAATATGCATTTCAGTTCATAGTATTTAAAAAATGTGCAAATAAGCTTAATAACTTTTTGGCAAAAAATAAATATGAAAATCCGATTTTATCATTTTTGTTCCTATTTTGCCCCTTATCCCTCCCTTAACAGATTTTGTGATGAATTTACCTAGCTACCCTCGTAATAATTTCATCTTCTCTCTTCCTTCTCTCTCCTCTCCACCAACGGGCCACCTCATCCCACCACTATTATGGCATTATAGGCTGCCACCCCATCATCTTCTTCTCTCCTCCTTTTCTCTCTTCTCTCACTCTCTCTTTCCTCTTCATCAATTCATCCCAATTCCACCAATTGGTTTTTGTAAACCAAGTGTTATATACGTCCCAATTCCACGTTATTCTCTCTCTCTCTCTCCTCTTCATCAATTCGTCACAACCTTTAGCCATGCTAAATTTAATAATTTTTAAATTTGCCAATTGAAGTTGAAAGAATAACGTGGTCACCGACGGCGGCAACAACACCGGTGAGAGCTTCATCATCTTCACGCTCAAATCGTGACTCAAACATTGAGTTTCTCTATCGGTACAACCACATGGCTGAAACTCCATTGAAGACCAGAGTTGAAGCTCCATTGAAGACCATGGGTTGACGATTCACTGGAAAAACTATTCTGGTCGGAGTTACAATGCAGACCCATTTCCGGCGGGCTCAAGTTCAATTTCAGATGAGCTTCAGTTTCAGCTCCGGTATGTTTCATTCAAACCAGACACTCCGACGAGCTACAGTGAAGACCCGTTTTATCAACACCATGAACTCCGGTGTGGAGCTCTGAGTTGACAACGACCAAACCCAGCTATTCCGAAGTATCTGAGTGATCAGAACTTCAGTCTGGCGAGCCTAAGTTCAGCAAAGCTTCATTTTAGTCTGGCGACACTACAAGCAATGATGAACCACGACAGTGACAAACGGTATAGAAGTTTCGACATACTCCATCAACGACCAAAATTAAAGCTCACAAACCCAGTTCGGTGAAGTCTATAGAGCCAGTCCGGTGAAGCTTACACAGTGGCGAGCTCTAAAAACTACAACGACTAGTTCTGGTGACGGTGACTAAACCAGCGCATTCCAGTTTAGAAACATCCATCTTTTCTGGCCACGAGCTACGACGGACAAAATGTGTGCTTCATTTTAGTCCTGTCCGGTGAGCTTTATCTCAGACCTGCAAGCCTCAAGCGAGACCCAACATAAGCTTCAACCTCCGACGAGTTTCCTTCCGTTTCAGAAGTTGGTTCCACAGTGATCTTCAAAACTCGGTCCAGTGTATCTTAGTCCGGCGTGCCATAGCTACGGTGGTGTAGTTTGTCGCAACTATGGATGAAGAAGATGAGGTGGAGATGTAATACCCCTGGGGTATCACAGGAGAGGAGAGAGAAAACTGAGAGGAAGAAGAACGGAGAGAGATGAGGTGCTAAAAATGGACAAAATGGTTGTTTTACATGGCGTACATTTTAACATATTAATTTATTCTATTAACATAAGGACATTATAGTCATTTTAAGTCTCAAAAGGGTTTATTTGCACCCAATCGATAATATATAAAGGGTTTATACAACATAGGGACTTTTTTACACTATATCAATAATGCATTTTTTTATTTTTTATTTTTTATTTTATTTTTTTTGCATTTTACCCAACTTTTAACTCTAATAAAGCTCTGATTGAAAATTACCGAACTTTGATTAGATTGTAGCCGTTATGACGATTTCCTTGTTTACCCATATAGGGTTTTGTATTTTGGACCTATTTTGATTGGGTAAATTACACGGATATCCCTATGGTTTGTAATAATTAAAGGGTCTTTCTCTGTGATTTGAAAAATTACTCAGACCTTCTCTAAAAATGAAACTAACCTATACAGACCTCCCTTTTAGTGACGGATGGTCAAATACACTAATAGATTTGTCTAATTTATTAAAATGCCCTAAAATTGTTATGATAAATGACTGTAATACTATCTATATGTGTGAGAGAGAGGAGATGAATGAAGGGAAATATGAAAATTTCAATTTATTCAGTACATGATATCAGTCAAAATTCATCATCGAATTATGTTTACGGTAACAGAAGAGAGGTTCGTGTAGGTAGTTTTATTTGTAAGGAAGTTCTAAGTAATTTTTCAAATTATAAGGAGGGCGTCTGTAATTATAATAAACCACAGGAGAGGTTAGTTTTTTTATTTAGGCAAAAGTGCAAACAACCCCCTGAACTATAACGAATCGACAGTTTACCCTCTGGACTACAAAAATGAACAAATCAGTACCATAATTATCAAAATTCGTGCAAGTTAACCCCTAAACCCCTGAAGCTCAATTTCAGTCACTTTCCGGCCCACAAGTGCAATCATTTTCTTTTAATTTCAAAATTACCCTTGAATACTCATTAATACTATTATTTATTTATTTATTCATTTTCATTTTTAGAATGAAGTCCGTGGAAGAAGTGAACTGTTCTTTTCATTTTCCCCGATTTCTCAACAGCCAAACACTTTCTTCTTTCACTCAATCTAAAAAGTTCGTTGGCCTCTACCATTCCACCACCAAATCCAAATCCTCTCTCTCTATCTATATACTACTATATTATATGTATGTATGTTTGTATATAGATAGTCCTCTATTGCTCTTTTTGCTACGAGTTGAGGTGATAAGGCTTTTTTTAATAATAAGGGAGGTGAAGATGATGCACATGACCATATACTAGGGCAAAGACGTCTTGCTCTTGATCGACTCGTGGAAGACCGATTGATGGACGAGTTACGCACTCACTTTACTCACATGCTTCATCTTCTCCGTCTTCTACCAGCATATGGAGGATCGACGGATCAGATTCAGATCACTCGTTTCGTCCAATCTTTCCCAGCCGTCAATCGAGACGCCTCTGGTTGCAAAATCAAGATCCAACCGGCGGGCCAACCCGAATAGGTTGATCTTGTCTGTGCTATTCGGATTCAACTTGGCAATCGGGTACCTTCTGATGCTGGCAATCATGTCATTTAATGGAGGGGTGATCGTGGCTGTTGTTTTGGGGCTAAAAGTTGGCTATTATCTGTTCAGGAGTGGACTGGATGCTGATGATGTCTTGACTGTGGAAAACCCATGCGCTTGTTCTTGATATCTCAATTCTCTCTCTCTTCCCTCTCTCTCAATATATAAGAGCTTGAATTGGGGGCAGTTCTGGTGACCCAAAGCGGCTGAGGCTGAAGCTATTGTTGCAAGAGACGACGACATGGCTCAGATTTGAGAGAGAGAGAGGGGCAAATGCTTTTTGTGGAATTTGTGTATGTCATTGTAAGTGTTTGAGTTTCAGACAAAAAAAAAAAAAAAAATAGAGAGTTTTTTTTAGAGAGAGAGAGAGTGAGATTTTCAGGTGTTGCTGTAATCAACGGGACCGGCGGGGCATGAGGGGCATTGAGGATATTTCACACTAATTATTTATTTATTTATATTTTTTCTTAATTACAATGGGTAATTTTATAAATTTATAATGAAGTAGGCCGAAATTGAATTTCGAAAGTTAACTCGCACGGATTTAGATAATTATAATATTAATTTGTTCATTTTTATAATCTAGAAATAAAATGCCGATTGTGATTATTTGGGGGACTATTTGCACTTTTGCCTTTTATTTACCCATTTTGTACAAAAGATCCCACTTGCATGTTGGGCCTCAATTTTCCTTTTGGAATAAAGTGCTGTATTCTAAAAGCAGCCTAGCGCTTTATATTTTATGCCTTACTTGAAGTAAGTACTTCATAAAGTTGTTTGAACTTTGAAAAAAAATAAAAATTTCCCTCCATAACAATGATGTTGAAATTACAATTTTGCTCATATTTTAATTTTAGTATGCAGCAAATTCTCGGTGCTTCTGCCACTGAACCTCCCCCTTCTAACACAATGTCAGCTGAACACATTTCATCTTCATCTGTAGTTTCTCCAAACGAAATCGTTCCTGACACTAGTGCTCCTTCTTCTTCCTTGAACAAATCTGCCGCAATCACGACAACCCCGAATCAAAAAAGCGTCACTGAAGCAAGCCGCAAACCAATTTCACCAGATCCTCCCAAACCCAAGTGTTCATTCTTGCGTTTTTCATCTCATCGCAAAGCCAAGGGCCAAAGCTCCGAACCAGACAACAAAAAGGGCAATGATGGCCATGCCAACGGCACAAATGGGCATGACGAAGTTGAGGTGCTTCGTAACTGGATCGATTCAGATCTCAAATTCATCGAAAAGACCTCCGATACGATCAACAATTACAAAGATCAAATCACGGAGGTTTCGAGTAAGTTCAAGGAGATTAAAGAAACCGGAAGTCGGGATGACTTTCGCGCCCTCAAGAAGATGGTGACGAAATTGAAGCAGCAGATCTCTTCCAAGAACAAAGATGAGTCCACGCGCTCCAATGCAAAAGTCAAACTTGGCAATGACAACAAGTCGCTCGACAAAATGCCCAAGTTGTACGAGGAGCCATTGTTCGAGTGTAGCCCGGCATTTCAAGATTTTCAGCTACTTTATAATAGCCTCGAAACGGAATTGAAGCTGTGTTTATTGTGTTTTTCAGTGTTCCCGGAAGATGCTGTCATAAAGAAGAGGCTTATGGTCTATTGGTGGATTGGAGAGGGTTTTATACAGGTACCGCCAATTCCAGTGATTGGGCCAGCTCCGAAGAATGAAACCGCGGAGGAGTTGGGCAATGAGTTCTTCAACAAGCTTATGGTGAAGGGCTTCATCGAGCCGTACTATGAAAAGCGCAGCCTGGAAGTGCACAGCTGCAAGATGCATCCTTTTGTTCGTTCTGCAGTAATTATGCTCGCCAAGAAGGCCAAGTTCTTTGATTTTGATGAAAAGGGGAATGTCACTGGGAAATTCTCCAATTCTCTCCGGGCATGCTTAGCGGGTGAAGGGTTGATAGAGATTCAGAATTTGGAGCCCCTTCATATGGTGTTCAATGTTAATGAGCCTTCTGTTGAATTCAAGCTTGAATGGTTTCTGAAGATGATAAATGTCAATATTCTTTATTTGGGAAGATGGCAGGCCTCAGCCACACATCACATTGAAGTTGATGATCTTAAATTTTTGGAAGGGTTGATGAAGATGAAGCACATGAGACTTTTTAGCCTTCAAGGAGTTTCTAGAATTACAGAGCTTCCCAAGTCCATTTCAAGGCTTAGGAATCTGACGATCCTTGATCTCAGAGCCTGTCATAGTCTTGAAGTACTTCCAGATGGAATTGGCTCGCTCAAGAGTTTGACACACTTGGACATGTCCGAGTGTTACTTGCTAGATCAGATGCCAAGGGGGCTTGCATCACTCTCCCAACTCCAAGTTCTCAAGGGATTCTTTGTTGGAAAGTCCAAGAGCAAAATATGTACTATTGAAGACTTGGCAAAATTGCCTAAGTTGAAAAAATTGAGTGTATACACAAGTCTGAAGCACTTCCCAGATTCAGATCTTTATGCTTTTCAAGGATTTCAAGTGCTTTCCAAGCTGACAATAGCATGGGGTCGGGGCTCTTTAGAAGATGAAACAGATAAAAGTGCTAAGCAAGGGAAAGATGCTGGAAAATCAACTGCACCGGACAACGTGAACCAAGAAAATAAAGATGCTGGAAAATCAACGGCACCAGACAACATGAACAACGAAAATAAAGGCTCTTCACAAGCCAAAGAAGACGAGAAGGCTAAGCAAGCGAAAGGTGCTGGAAAATCTTCGGCACCAGACAACATGAACCCAGAAAATAAATGGTCTTCACAAGCCAAAGAAGACAATAAGGCTAAACAAGGGAAGGATGCTGGAAAATCAACAGCACCAGACAACATGAACCCAGAAAATAAAGGCTGTTCACAAGCCAAAGAAGGCAAGAAGGCTAAGCAGGAGAGTGGTGTCTTGAAGACGAGAGCTGCACACACTCTGACTGAAGAGAAGAAAGGAGGTATCACAAAGAAAGGCGATAGTACAGTCGCAGAAGCAACAGCAGCTTCTGATAAACCACGGGCACTTCCTTCACAGCTCACAAAACTGGATCTTCAGTGTTACCCTATGAATATGTCACCCAGTTGGCTGATGCCTGCCAATCTGAAAGGCCTAGAGAAACTCTACATTAGGGGAGGGAAATTTTCTGACCTGGGTCAGTTTCAGGACAAAACGGGAATAGTCATGCCAGTAGAGCACAAGTGGAAAGTTGAGGTATTGCGGCTCAAATACTTGAATGAATTAGAGATGGATTGGAGAGAAGTGCAGCAGTTGTTTCCAAACTTGATTTACTTGGAGAAAGTAAAATGCCCCAAACTTGCTTTCTTCCCATGCGATGAGAAGGGAGTGTGGATTGACAGAAAAAAGAAATCAAGTCAGTTGCAAGAAATCGCATCATGAATTTGTATGAATTTGTATTTTTTCATATGTTATTTGATACTGGCTAATGTTGTTTCAATTTAGTTTCTTAATTCTTGATCTGAATAATTTTTGTGGGTTTCATAAATTGGTGATTTTTTTCTTGCACACATCTCCGCAATAAGCTACATGTCTGTTTTTGTTACACCAAATCCATGTGAAATCTTTTTTGAGATGAGTGTATCTATAGAATTGATCTATCAGAGCCTTGTGTTTACTTTCTGAATACAAATTCAATTTGAAAAGAAACAAAGAGCATTTATCTAGACTTTGATATGAAGCAATCGAAGATTCAATGATTTAGTTGAACAGCACAAATAAAAGATGAGGATTTTAGTTTTTATTTAAAAAAATAATAGTAATAAAGGAAAGAAACTTTTACAGAGTGTGGAACGTCAGAAATCAATTTTACCAAAGGAAGAAATAAAATATTAGTAGTCATAATAATGAGATCAAGTTTAGCAAATGAACCGCAAGAATTTTATACTTATTTATTTTTCTTGGGTTTAAAGAATTTTATGCTTGTTCATGTGGATGTGTAAGGGAAAAGATTGACAGCCCATTAGAGTAGCCTTTCTATTATTGACTTCACTGGCAGGGTTGATATTCTTATCTCTGTGGTGGTTGGTTGGTAGTCTAGTGCTGCCGAGACCATTTCCATTAAGCTGACCTTAAATTTTGGGTTGAAGCTCTTATTGAGTTCCGATGAAACGAGTTACACATGCACTTGTGTTGGACAAATGCCAATTTTGCATCCTGATTGTCCAAGTTGGCTTGAACCCATTGACATTTCTGTTGGGAAGCAACGTCTCCAGCACTACCACCGCAGTATTAGCGTGTTGAGGATAAAGAACCTGTTGAAATCATGATATTGGAGGTCAAGGAAAATGTAACTGTTCTTCATTTTCCCTTAGCAATTTCAGTACCTACTCATATCCCTGAGCTATTTCAGTTGTAAATACCCCTTTTTTACTCTAAAGTAGTGACAAACTTGGAATTATAAAAGATGGGTTTTAACCTCAGGTAATTTCTAATTATCATGACTTGTGTTTTAAAATTAGTATGGGGATGTGAACTTTGGGTAGACTTAAATTTGGAATTAGCAGACTCAGAATGGAGCCTCCAGTCTCCGGAAGGAGAATTGTGTTAGACAGTCACCACAACAGTGACTGTCGTAATTGTGTTCAGTAGATCGGGTTGGCATAGTCGAGACTTGTCCATAGCATTCCTACTTCTATCATGTGCGATTGGATCGATGTCACACTCGTCGATTGATTTGCCTAGTTTAATACATTAAAAGACTAATTTTTGCAGTCTAGCTAGGATGTGAAATCTTTCTGAAATCAAAACCCATCTAATATTATCATACCTGTAAGTTAACATAAATTTTAAACCCACAATCCCACCCAGATCATTTTCCCATGAATATTTTTCAATCACAAATGCAGCTCAATTTATCTTTGAATAGAGATCTGAAAATAATTATTCTTAATAAAGTAAGGTGAGTATCACTCTAATGTAATTATGTTCATATGTATTACAGATGAGATACTGCTCGGACTCAGCACTGGCCTTTTTTCTATTATTAGATGGGACATGGGCGCAATCATTCATTTGTCTGTTTCTTTTTCTTTTTGCTTTTACTTTCTTAGCCTTCTCTTTATTTGGAAAAAAGATGTGACAAACCTTGATCATGAAGAATCCCATTTACAGCACACGCTTTGAGCATGACCTGGTTTATTTGTTCTCAATTTATCTTGTTATAGAGACTTGAAAATAATTATTCTTGATAAAGTAAGGTGTAATTATTATTTTCATATGTTTTACAGATGATATACTGCTTGGATTCAACACTGGCCTTTTTTTATTATTGGATGGAACATGGACCCAATCATTCATATGTCTGTTTCTTTTTCTTTTTGCTTTTACTTTCTTGGCCTCCTCTTTATTTGGAAAAAGATGTGACAAACCTTGAGCATGAAGAATCCCATTTACAACACAGGCATTGGGTATGACCTGATATATTTATTTATTTATTTTGTTTATGCTCATGTCAAATACTTATAAAATATGTGAGATAAAAAAAGATGATTAAATACTTTAATGAACCGAAGCTTAATGCCAGATTCTTTGATTAGTTAACAATGAAAAGAAACCAGTCACTCTGTTGATGCTGGATCCTGAGGTGTTACTGCCAGAAAAGTTGTGGCCACAACAAAAATCTGGGAGAAATTGCTTTTGTCAACCAAGCTGAGATGTGAGTCAAGTACCTGAACTGAAGTGATTAAATTTTACAGTAACTATCAGTGACTGTCATCTTAAAGCCATAAGTAGAGCACCCAGCATAAATAAAAATCACAATCAGAAGTTACTTAGATTCTTAAGGCTAAATGAAGAAATTGGATAAAGTTGGGAGGGGGCGATGGGTTTATACCAATTTTATGATTTTCTGCTAATTTTGTATAGACATTCCTATCTATAAACACATCCGAGGTACTTCTCTTGAGTCTTGACTTGAGGTCACTCAGGTTTTTACTTTAGGTAAATTTCTGCTGTCCATGTGTTTTTTTTAACAAAGATTTGTCTTGTTGCAGATTTGAAGTGTTGCCGATCAAGAGAAAGTTCAACAAATGATTTGAGAGAAGGATATTGCCTTCAGTTGGAGAAGAAATCCGCCTACAAGGACTTCCTGAATGAAGTACTTAGGTTTAAGCTCTTACTACTTTATTTCTTTCTTTGTTTATGTTTTTAATTCAACCACATTTTTTTCCATAGACGAGCTGAATTAACTATTGAAATACCAGTAAATGTTTTTTGCACACTCAACCTGATAGAACTATAAACAAGACCTAGAGGAGATGACAAACTGTAGGAAATCACAATAAGTTGTTTTCTGGTAATGTTGACTGCTCCAATTCTTCGTGATTAAAGTCTTGGCAGTTCGTACATTAATGAAACTCTTCGATGAATTCACAGCAATGATACATCAGTAGCTGGGGGACTTTCTTTATTTTGAAGCAAATCCTTCAAACCTAGAAAATGGGTGTACAGGGGAACTAAATTGGCCACTAGGTACTGTTCAGTCGACCCCATTATTTGGTAGCCTCACAACGATCAAGAAGTAGATACTGTTCAATTTCCTAAGCCATTTAAGCACTTCATAAGACCCTAGTCCTTTTCCCCGGCTCTTATGGCTATATAAGAGAAGCTTTTAAAAAGATTTTCCAGGATTTAGGAAATGTTTCAATGTGAACTTCTTGAATAGACCTTGGTTTATATAATACTGTCCATCTAGGATTAAGATCTTCTAGCAATACCATAATTTTGTAGGTACCTGAGGTTTTCGCAACTTTGATGGTGTCAAGCACCTGGAATTATTTAGGAGAAAAAAAAATTAAGAAGTCAACATTCCAGATCATGCATATGAAAATTTCCCCCTTTCTTCTTTCTCAGTAGCATATAATTCTGAGAATTTTATTTGTGCTATCTTCTTTTTCTGTTCAAATGGCAGCTAATGCTCCCGACCTTCTTTTTGATATATTTTTAGAAAAAAGCTGAGTTCCAAGATCATAAAATTTTCAAATTTTGCGTCAAACAATGTAAAGTCATTGTATTTCTAGTTTCCCAGAGTGAAAAAAGAAAAATGTATTTTCAGTTCTAAGAAGGCTAGTGATTTTTAGCTGTCCAGGTCTTTTTTTTTTTTTTTTGTTCCAAATATGTCCTCATAATATACTATTTGTTACAACAAACGCGGCAAATCCAAGAAACAACCAAGAGACACGACATAAAATAAACACACCACACAAAGATTTAGCATGGTTTGGTGAAGCCTACATCTACGGTGAAGATCCGGCAAAAATTTTCTATGAGAAAAACACGCGCTTACAAGTTTCAATCCCAAATCCTAGCTCTCACTCTCACTGTCACTCTCGCTCTCTTTTTTGTGATTGTCAGTGTCTCTCAACATCCCACTCCAAACCCTAAACGCCCTTATATATCAGGCTATAAGATAGTACTAATTAGGGCTCACGACCTAGAACCAAATTCGGGCCACAACATCACATTATTTGTTTCTCACTAACTGCTACAGTCACTTATAATAATGAGTCATGAAATCCGCTGGCTTTGATATTATCAAGAAATTTTGAACATGGACTCTATAATTTTATTCGTCAATGTTGACTGAATATTGTATGCAACAATAGTGATTTTAAATTGTAAGCCGTGAATTGGCTTTATTTGTAGAATGCGTTTGGTGTATATGCTGTATACACGCTGACAATGAATGCATTTTCTTTGAAGGCTAGGTGTAAATTCACTAAGTTTTGCTTGTGATCTGTATCATCTCAAGAACTAAGAAGGTTCTGCTTCACCAGGGTAAGAGAAGAGGAATCCTAAAGGAGGATATGAACCTCCCATGGAAGAAGTTTTGGGATTTATGGGATCTCCGAGCCTTCATTATATTAAGCCTTTCATTGCAAACCTTCTTAATTTTGATTTCCCCCTTGAGAAAGAGAACGGCAAACAATTGGATAATCATGCCCCTCTGGTTGGCATACTTGCTTGCAGACTGGGCTGCAAATTTTGCTGTTGGACTCATTTCCAACAGCCAAGGCAACAATTCTGGTCCTATGAAAAATGGAGACCTTCTGGCATTTTGGGCTCCATTTTTCCTGGTACACCTTGGTGGCCCGGATACCATAACTGCTTTTGCTCTTGAGGATAATGAGCTGTGGCTCAGGCACTTGCTTGGCCTTATATTCCAGTGTGTGGCTGCTGTTTATGTCTTCTTTCAATCGCTACCCAGAAACAACCTATGGATCCCAACAATGCTCATGTTTATGGCAGGAATTATCAAGTACTCTGAGCGTACACGTTCTCTGTATCTCGCAAGCTTGGGTAGTTTTCGGGACTCCATGCTTACTGAGCCTGATCCTGGGCCTGACTATGCAAAGCTCATGGATGAATACTTTTCAAAGAAAGAATCAAAACTTCCAACACGGATTGTGATGATTGCAGAACCTGATAGAGGAATCAAAGCTGCCACTGCAGCCAAAGTAGCTGATTTGACCGACCTAGAAGTGGTGCAACATGCGTATCGCTTTTTTAATACTTTCAAGGGGCTTATTGTTGATCTCATATTCAGCTTTCGTGAGCGCAACCAAAGCCGAGACTTCTTCCTGAAAAGAACAGCAAAAGATGCTTTTAAAGTGATAGAGGTCGAACTGAATTTCATCTATGAAGTTCTATACACCAAGATCAGTGTGGTGCATTGCAAATTAGGATATATTTGCAGGTTTATTTCCTTCAGTTCAGTTGTTGTAGCCCTTGTACTCTTCCATTCTGATAACAAGGAGGGATTCCATGCGTTTGATGTTAAAATTACCTACGCGTTGCTCGGTGGTGCCATGGCCCTGGATACAATTGCCCTATTCATGCTCATTTTCTCTGATTGGACCATTATTGCCCTCGCTAAGTCACCCGAGGATTACTCCGAGGATAAATCCTTTACTGCTAAAATCCTTAGATTCTTGATAACAGTGAAGAGGGGAAGGTGGTTTAAAGACCCCTCAAGGCCTATGAAAGTCTTGCGCCGCAGGTGGTGTGAATCTGTCTCGAAATACAATTTAATATATTATTGCCTGCATCAACGTTCAAAAATGAAAGAAAAACTCATTGGTTATTTGGGCCTTACTAACTTTTTAGATGGGCTGAGGTATGTGCAGAGGGAACCATTCACTGAAGGTTTAAGAGACTTCATCTTCAAGGAGCTGAAAATGAAATCTGAGATGGCAGATGATTTAGAAACTGCCAAGGAGATATCTTCAGCCAGAGGTGATTGGATTCTTCGGATTAAAGATCGCGGCAACTTACTTCCTTATATTGTTGACGTGGATTATGATGAAAGCCTTCTATTATGGCACATTGCAACTGAACTCTGCTACAATGACGATTTTACTGATGAAGGAAATGCTGATAAAAATACTGGTGCAGACGAGAGTTCACCACAGTGTTGTTGCTTGTATTTACCCAAAAAAATAACTGGTGCAGGAAATGCTGGTCAAGGCAAAGCTGGTGACAATACTGGTGAAGGCAATGATTCTAACAAGTATCGTGAATTTTCGAAGCTCCTGTCAGATTACATGTTATATCTTCTAGTTATGCAGCCAACAATGATGTCTGCAGTGGCCGGTATTGGGCAAATAAGATTCAGAGATACCTGCGCAGAAACCAAGAAATTCTTTAAGAGAAAGAGATCAGAACAGGGACAGGAACAGACTCGAATCTTTCCAAATATCTTTTCTGTTAAGAAATTCTTCTGCAGAGATAAATCAAAAGAGGATAAGGAACAGAGAAGCGCCTGCAAGAGTATACTGGATGTTAACACAGAAGTTAAACCAGTTACTGTGAAAGGAGATAGAAGCAAATCTGTGTTGTTTGATGCATGCATGCTGGCTAAAGAGCTGAAGAAGTTGGATGAGAAAGAGAGAGATAAATGGGAAACAATCAGCAGGGTGTGGGTAGAATTGTTGTCTTACGCTGCGAGTCATTGCAGAGCAAATACTCATGCTCAGCTTCTGAGTAGAGGTGGAGAGCTCATCACTTTGATTTGGTTGTTAATGGCTCATCTTGGCTTGGGGGATCAATTTCAAATAAGTGAAGGCCATGCAAGAGCAAAACTTATTGTGAGGAAATAGATAAATCAGTATGTTGTATCAATCTATTGATGACTGTCTTCGATCGCATTAATCAAATCCTAATTGTCAGTGACAATGGGAGATGATTTTTGGTATTTTCTGTGAAACACTTATTTTGATGTTACTAATTTTGTTGGTTCAGTTTTCAAGACAATCAGGGCCGATCATATTTTATTTTACATATTTATTTCTTTAGTACAGAGGTCTCCTACTTGTAACTTCTATATATGCAGTAATGTGACGAAAGAATATACAATTTACAATACATGTTCTGAACTTTTGACCGCATCTGGTACTAAGCCAAAGTGTGGATTGCATTCATTCAATTACCTAGTCTTAGAAGAATTTTTTCTTTTCAAAACAGATCATCTAATTCTCTTAAATGAGGGCCCGTTTGGAAGGCCAAAATGTTTTTGGTTTTGGTTTTGGGCCCATATCTCATTTGGTGTGGGCTGATATGTTTCTGAACAGGTCCATATCATTTTGAGATTTGAGGCAAAACCCATATCACCAAAATGCCTCAAAACCCATATAACCAAAATGGTGATATTGGGTATTTTCAACACTGTAGCGGCCATACCAAAAGCCCAAACCAAAAATAGCCGGTCCAAACCAATATCAAGTTATACTGTAGCAGCATATCACGTATAAGACCTAATTTTAGAAACCCTAGCTCATTTCTGCAGAATATTTCTCTCTCTTCGTCTTTGCACTCCGGAGGCGATTGAGGGGCGATTCCTTTGAAACGAAGGTTGGGTGTTGTCGATTTTCTTCAAGATTGACAAATCCATGATCGTACAAGGTTTTTCTTTGCAATCTCCATTGTATTTGCTTTCGTCCATCTCTATTCTGTGACCGATTTGTGTGTGAAGCGATTTTACCGAAACCCTAGTTCGTGCTTTGGAGTGCAAATTTTCGAAGGTTTCCCTGTGTTTCTCGAACAGGCCAATCATGTCTATTATCTCAGGTGTGTGAGTCGATTCTATCCCTTCCACCGAAATCCTAGTTCGTAGTTGTTAGATAGAGGATCTGACGGTTTTATATCGTTTTTGTGTTTGATTTCTCAGGTTCAGGTGCGCGTCGATTGAAACGCTTAAAGCTTCTGAATTTATAAGGTATGTATTTCCGTATGAAGAATTTGTATGAAGGTGCTTTATCGACCTCTGAGATTTGTCTAATTAAGTCCACCTGAGATATGTATGTATAATGGCTATATAATACATTTAATTTTACACAACAACACACATCACAGCTCATCTATATCTGTGTGGTCGTCCACACAGATAGCTCTGGCCCTTCCACTCCATTAACACCTCTCACCCCTTCTCTGCCAATACGTTCTCACCCCTTCTCTCTCTCTCATTGTGCCAGTGACCTCAATAAGGGGAAAATGAAGCTGTTGAATGATCATATTTCTACTGTGAAGTACAGTTCTAAACATTATGGAGCATATGTTATCTCATCATTAATTTTGACAAATTTCTCATTTTGAAATTTTAAGCAACTGCAAAATTATACATGATATTTTACATCCAAAGTTTGTTATTCTACTTTATTCAAAGGAAAAAATTATACATGATATTTGATTTTACTTCTTCTTGCACTCATATATGATTTTATTTCATTTTTCTTATTTTGTTTTCTCTTCTTTACATTTATTAATGAGATTCTATGAACTTAGTGAGTACATATTTTATGTTTTTCAAATTAATGTGCTAGATATTTTTTTGCGAGCGGTTCATAATTACTGCACATTGATCAGTGTGGATTTAGCCATGTGTATAGTTCAATTTTTTTTGTGTTGTTTTGTTTTTCTCTAATGTTGTTCATATGTTTGGTTTTGCATGAGGTCATTTACACTCCAAATTTGCAATTTAGCCTGAAAAAAGGTTAGATATATCTTGGTTAGTACTTCTAATTACTTTATTCCTACCATGTGTTATTTTATTTTTCTCTAATGTTGTTTATGTGTTTTGCATGAGGTCATTTACACTCTAAATTTGCAACTTAGCCTGAAAAAAGGTTAGACATATGTTGCTTAGTACTTCTAATTACTTCATTCCTACCATGTGTTATTTTGTTTTTCTTTAATGTTGTTCATGTGTTTGGTTTTGCATGAGGTCATTTACACTCCAAATTTGCAACTTAATTAGCCTGAAAAAAGGTTAAATATATCTTCTGCTTATTGGAGTAGTTTAGATGGAGAACGAGCAATTTTACTTGGATTTGTGGATTAATTATGTGGGCGGTGTCCCTTGTTGAATTAATTTTGTAAGTGGTGTCCCTTGTTGAATTAATTTTGTGGGCGGTGTCCCTTATGTTTATTGTGTTAGGTTCAATTTTGTAAATGTCCATTTTTAAGGGGAAATCATGTTGGATTTTCGAAAAAAAAAAAAACCTTTGATTCCAAAAAGGCATGTGGTTGATTTTTGGAACTTGAAATGGATTTTTGTTGTTTCAAGGCTTAGTAGAATGCAGCCGTTCCATGGGAAAACCTAACTCTGCTTTATATTTTGCTACTATAGGTAATGTCTTGTTTTACATTAAAATTTATTTTTTTTCTTTTTTCTTAATGCTTCCTTATATCCTTTTTTGCTAAATCATAAACTATTGTCAACCTAGTACCATGTAATCCATATATGCTCTTGGAAGAACTGGCACTATATTGAAGGACATGGTAGTAAGTTGTGGGCAGTGGCACCAGTGGGATTTATAGGAAGCATTCTCCAGTTGCTGCAACTCCAGGAAGTTAGTGATCTCTAAGTTAATCAAATGGAGGCCTATGCAAGTATAAAAAAGTGTGTGTACATTTTATGAAATGAATTTTAGTGATCTCCAGTTGTGTGTACATTTTATGTAAGTATAATGAAGTGTGTGTCTACACACATACTATTTTTAAGGAATTTCTAGCTTTCTATATGTGCAAGTATATATGTGAATGGTGCAACAACAATTTATTAAGTTTCAGATGTACAAAAAAAACTTGTGGTTTGGTGTGTTATTTATGATTGATTAAAATCTTACAAAATATTTTCAAGTACTTGTTTGGTTGGATGACAATAATTTTTCTAGCAGGTTGTTTGGTTATCAAAATAAATACTCAAGAAAATGGGAAATGGTCTCATGAGTTAACAATAAAAATATTAGTACTTTGAAAGATCTCTATTCGAAAATTTCAAACTAATCTTACTGAAGTAAACCTATTCACAAGCTTTAATGTCCACCAAACCTCAACTCTGACCAATTCAAGAAGATTAACGTTTTGACTTTGCTTCTTGTTAGTTTCAATTACAAGGATCTCTCTCTCTCTCTCATTCATAATGAATTTATATAATATATATATATATATATAACAAAACAAAGTTAAATGGAGTGCAAGCCTGTAACGACTCACTCCACCACATGGTATGATATTGTCCGCTTTGGGCCTGAGCCCGCACGGTTTTGCTCTTGAGCTTCACCCCAGAATGCCTCATACCAATTGGAGGTGACACACTTACATATAAGCACTTCACCTTTCCTCTACCCAGGCGATGTGGGACTGTGCACCCGTAGCTCGCCAGTGTGGTAGCCTGACAATGTCTCTCGCACCCGCCCACGGCACACCCGCCCACAAGGTCATCACAATCCACCCCCCTTGGAGGCCCGACGTCTTCATCGGCACATTTCCAGCTGGGTCAGGCTCTGATACCATTTGTAACGACCCACTCCACCATATGGTATGATATTGTCCGCTTTGGGCCTGAACCCGCACGGTTTTACTCTTGGGCTTCACCCCACAAGGCCTCATACCAATTGGAGGTGACACACTTACATATAAGCACTTCACCTTTCCTCTACCCAGGCGATGTGGGACTATGCACCCGTAGCTCGCCAGTGTGGTAGCCTGACAGTGTCTCTCGCACCCGCCCACGGCACACCCGTCCACAAGGTCATCACAAAGCCAAAACAAAAAGATAATGGAGTGTAAAGATTTTCTCATTGAAAGATTATTACAAAGTTAGATTTGTAATTTGGTTGTCTCTAATCATGTTTATGCTTCATAAATATCCCACATGATCTTATTTATACATGTAAATTTATTCATAATTTTTTTTCCCAACTCTTTTTAATGTTTTGATATATATTTTTTTATATTTTATTTTAACAAATTGTCTCAAATTATAAAAAAAAAAAAATGGACTATTACATATAAACTTATAATTGTATTCATATATATAATTATTCAAAATAAAAACAAAACAGTCTTTACAAAACACGTATCCTGTTATTGATTCAGAATTTTTGACAATAAAACTAACTTCCTAAACGTGTTTTGTTTTCAGATTCCTTAAAACGCATGACATTACCAAACGCGTTTTCATGTTTTTTTATATACAATTATCAAAAACAAAACAGTTGTTTTCATATCATACCAAACCATAACATATAGCGTTATCGCGATCCAAATGGACCCGAAGGCTCTGTTTGTTTTTATTTTTTGGAGCTCGGAAAAGGTTTAGGACTGGGTGAGACGTGTAAAATAACTTCTCGAAAATTGATTAATAAGTTATTTTTGTTAGATTTTAACATATTTTTTTTCTCCATAAATATTTTACGACAATCAAATACTAAAAAATAAAAAAATATATTTTCTAAAAAGTATTTTACATCCAAACAAACGGAGCCCAAGTAAAATGGATTTTCAACCTAGCCTTTGCAAAAGGTCATTTTCCATAGTTGATTATATAATATAGGTTATTGTTTGACACTGATAGTTTACAACCTACATTAAGGCATTTTATTGAATTTTAGACAAGATTGGAGCCTCCACATGTATATGCATATACATTTATGGTGATCGAACATATAAAAACATGCATATACAAGTTTTTGTGTGAATTTGTAGTACATTTTGGATTAAAACCTCCTCACAAACAAACATATGATATATAATTAATTTAGAGGAGAGGGGAATCATATTGTTGTTGACTGGAGCTTCCGCTAGTTTAAAATTTTGAAATCATTGTAGTTTCATATACAACAATTGAATTATATATGGATCAATCATAATTTACACGTAATTATAACCTTTGAGTGAGATATTTATAAATCCAAAGTGTTCACATATTTGATCTTTCAAAATAGTACATTACTGCATTATTTAAAGATTTATATTTGCTTTATAAAAAATAGTAAAAATAAAAGTCATATTATTATTGATCGACGTGACCATCATTTATTGTTATTAGGATTAATTACAACAACACTCCCTGAAGTTTGCCATATACAACTTAGTCATTTTTGAGACAAAGACACCCTTTAAGTTTGCAAACTTAACAATGATACCCCAAACATGATGAAAGTACATGTTTACCTTTTTGACCACGTAAAATGCCCAAATTACCCTCAATCAAAAAATTCCTTCTTCCAAATTTTCTTTCCCATTCCTGTGAGCCTTTCTTCCCCACCGTCTATCAAGCCGCCACAGCCCACAACCGAGCTCATCACCTTCCCGCTGTCACCCTCATCCGAGCCATCCACAGCCGCAATCTATTACCATCCTTGAGTCACATATGGTCTATTTGATGATTAGAAACAAAGCCCCAATATTTTAGTTAGTGTAATATAGATTATTGAGTCAATTTGAAGATAGATGGAGCTAGGGTTTGGGTGAAATTTTTTTTGCAGAAAAGATAAAATCAAACAACAGCACTCAAAACTGAAGGTTCCTGATCTGACTGAGTATTTGCGCTGGAAATCCAAAGAAAAAGGGTAAGGGCGACGTGGAAGATCCACTAGTAGAAGTGAATTTCTGGTATAGTGATGGGCCTTAGCTTATCGATCGCACAGATAAAAGTCTCCCTCCAGCTACTCACACGGATAGCAGAAGGAATAAACCTTAGGAGACTTGACCTTAGGACTCAGTAGATTCCTGTTCTGTACGTGGAATAAGTTTTTCATGCCCCCTGTCATGACCTTTAAGTCACGTTCTAGCCCTCTCTAATGGTTGTGACCCATTTTTTTCGGTAGTCTACTCGTGGTAGTGCGTAGTGTGTAGAGATGATGGTGGATGGGTAGAGAGAACTCCATTTTTTCCGGCATATTCCATTCTTGTCGTTGTTTGCTTGGAGCATAGAGATGTTAGAGAGAGAGGGTACAGGGTTTGAGAGAGCTTGCTACCATCATCCGCAAGCTCACAGCCGAAGCTGCAACCAGTCCATCGCCGTCACAGCCAGCCCATCTCCACTTCGAGGTTCACAAGCCCATCGCCGTTCCGAGCCGAACCAGCCTGTCGCCCACGGCCCAGCTGTCTGCCGTCCCCGTTTCCCCACCATCCGAGCTGGCTGCCATCAAAACCAAGCTCACAGCCGCCTCCATCAAAACCAATCTTCTTCTTCACGGCCGACTCCTCCACGGTCGTCGCCTTCTCCACAGTCGCAAGTCGCCTTCGCCATCATTCACACGGCTGAGTCCACCACCGCTGCCATCTCGTCGCGAACTAGACCATCACAGCTGAGTCCTCCCCACAGCCCATCGCCGACACCACCTTGCCCAAACCAGCCCGTCCTCACCGTCCGTGCATTTTGGGTGGACAGCTATGGAACACATTTTTTTGTCAAATATTTTATTCATATAAGGCTGTGTTTGGTCAAGAGAGACGGAAAGAGAAACGACAGAGAGAGAGAGATGAGATGAGAGGGTAGTTTGGTCATTTTAGGTGAGGATGAAAATATATCTGAAGGCATATTAGACATTTCATGTAACCTAAGGCTGTGTTTGGCTCCGTTTTTTAAAAATGGGGTGTCATTGTTCAAGTTTGCAAACTTATGGGGTGTCTTTGTTCAAAAAGGGATTAAGTTGTACATGACTGTCAATATGACAAATCTCAAGGAGTATCGTTGTAATTAACCCTTATTATTATTATTATTATTATTATGCAAGCACCCCATAAGCATAGTGGAGTAATATATAAGCAAAGTACTCCAAAATATATGTGTACTCCCTTGAACGTATTTTATAATGTTGAGGAATAAATTCATGTGACATCATAGCCATGATAAACCATGATGGGCATCATCAAAACTAATTAGACTTGGTTTTGGGATAGTTAGGTTAAATTCAGTTGTTGCCATTTATATCAAGAGTGTGTTTAACACCTTTGTTCAGTATCAACCTGAATTGAGTTTTGGATTCAAAAATTTCGAGACGACCATATGACAAAGGGGTTCAAGCATACTGAAAGATCATGTTGAATTCAATAATCCAATAGGTACGCATTAGGTAAAATTTTATATACATAGCATATACATGATAGTTTAATACACAAATTCAATCATTGCGTAGTTAATACTAAAGTGATGTTATTGTTTTTTTATAAGAAAATTCCATAAAATAAAATTATACTGGAAATAAATTTTGATTCAGACCGTTAGATATTTATCTCAAGTATCGTATTAAATTACGACAAAAATTAAGAGTGTAAGTTGGACAAGCCCAAACTAGTCCCGTCCCAACCCGAACTCAACCCAAAGTCGGGTTGGGTTGGGTTGGGCCGGCCAGTTGTCAGTCTAGAACTGGGCTCTCCTGTAACCCGAACTCGAATAATTTCGGGCCGGACAGATTGACCCGTTCAATATATATATGTACTCTTCTTTTTCTTCTTCTTCTTTTTTTTTTTTTTTTTTTTTCAAATTTGCAAATTACATCTCTGTTTCGAAAACATCAAAATTTTTTTTTTTACCGAGAAAATTTTAATTTTCAATTCATTGCTACTCTTTCAATTTTTTTTCGACTGATCAAATGGTTGGTATTGTCACTAAAGTGTTCAATTATTAATTTTGATTTACTTCCAACTCTAATTTTATTTTCATTAATACAACAAAAATAAAACTTGTCTATGCACATCCATGACTTAATTATTATGCATTTTAAAATGCATATTAATTTGGGGTATATGCTCATCCATGCATAATATATATCTAGTTTGAAGGCTATTAGTAAATTGTGCATGTGACCTGTATCATCTCAAGAACTAAACAAGGTTTTACTCTACCAGGAAAAAGAGGAAAGAATCTATGGTGGAAACAGAAATTTACTTTAGGGGGCAATCTTTAATTTAGAGTTCTACTAGTATTATTTAGATAGATTCAATTCTAGTTGAAACATATGCCGAGGAGAATTCTTTTTAAATTATAATATGATAAAAATAAACTGAACAAAAAAACAATATGGCCAACTCCATTCATGAAAAATAAAAAGAAAAAAGAAAAGAAGCAAGAATGATGAACCAAAATGATATATGCAAAAATTAAAGTATAAGACATATAATATTAGGAGAAAAGCTATGCATCTCTTTTGAATTTGGAGTTAATAAGAGTTTCTTATAGGATATTGTTTGTGTAAAAAAAAATAAAGATTGAGGAGATTCAATGAGGGCGTAATTATCTTATTGTTTTTTATTTACTCTTGCAACTTTTTATTCAAAACTAATAAGTTGAGGGTAAAAATATCACTCACATTAATGGAGTGTCAAAGTTACTTTTGACAAAAGTTTCATCTTTATTCCAAACTTTTTTTAGCAATAATATGACTGTAGAAAAAAAAGAAAAGAAAAAAAAAAAAGGAATTATTACACATATACATGGTGTTATAATTTCGTATTTATTATTTAATGGAGTTAAAGTCACGTCGAAAAAAATGAAGTTAGTCAAAATTCTGAACATAAAAAAATACTATTCATTATCCAAATTATCCTTAATATTTTCACATATCATTTTTGGTTTGGATACAAACGTATTACTTTTATGCACATAAGTGTTACTTTTTGTGCAACACAAAAAATGGTACCTGATGACACAAAGTAGTATTTGGGTGCACAAAAATGTACCAACGTATCTAAAAGTGGTTGATTTGTGAGAGGAGTTTGGATAAATAAACAGTATTTTGGTCGACTCTATTTTTTCAAAGTTAGGAGACTTTAACTTGATCAAATAATAAATATAGATCCATAACCGAGTCTATCTGTACTAATCATAACATTAACAATGTGGGTTTTATACCATCGAGGCATTGACCCTTATTTCTAGTAATAAATTAAATAAAATAATCACAATACAGTTACAAGTGGTCGACTTACTTCTTTTAAGAAGTCTACTGAACTGAAATTAGTACCAAACGGAGGTTGAAACATAGTACAACTCAGCAAAAGCAGTGGTGGAGCTTTCTTTGTTTTGCAGGTTCTCTCTCTCTCCCTCTCCCTCATGTGCGTGTGTTTTGATATGATTTATGCCTTCTTCAATGTTAATGTCATTGGTTGCCTGTCTTTTTAAAAGCCCTATCTGAATTGTCTGATCTTGTATATAGTTATGCTGCTCTGTTTAGATTCAAGATTAATATGGTAATCTTATTGTAACTTTGGCTTGTGCTTGTAGCAAATCTTGAAAAACCTAAGAAGTTCAAATTTGATTCAAATCTTTAATTGACTGACTTTTTTTTTTTTTTTTTTTTTTTTTCCGGTTGCCTAACTCATCCCCTCAAACAGTTTTTGTTATGAACCACAAATTTCATAGTTCTTTAAAAATAGGAAACAGACTTTGAGTCCCTGGGGAGTGTATAATTTTTTCTTTTCCGGAATCGGGAAAGAAATCGTACTAGACAACTGAAATCTACTGATGTCAAGACAATTTGGAAGTCTTGGTGATCATCTAAATGAGTTGAGGTTTTTAACTTACATTATTGTTTTAATCCTTCAAATAGAATCCATCCAACAATGAGATTTAGGGTCAAGATCTGAAGTCTAATAGTTATTGATTAGATGTATAAGGAGTTCTTGAAATTAATTTGATCCAGAAGGTGGAATTTTTTTCTTAATTGCTTTGTAATTGACTGATCTCTTTTTCTTTTAAATTTTCATCTTAAAACTGGGTTCAACCCGACCTCCAATTGAAGATGGGTTGTAGAATTTGGGTTATTTCACTGTAAGCTTTTGAATGAGAAATATAGAGTAGAAGAAACAATGTTAGTTAGTAGGAAACCGTACTTTGCGTGGTTGTGTATAAATTGTAGAACCACCTCTAGGTTTGTTATTTCCACCTCAAAGACAAGGATTTTTTCAACCATGTAACAAGTTTAGAAGACCTTTTTTTGTTTTGGGCAGGCCTCCATCACCTAAAGTTCTTCCAATAATGTAATTTAAAATAAACTAACCATTAAAAAAAAAAAATTCAATTGGCCTATGAGTTCAACCCACACCATGGACACCAAAACTGTAGGCCACCCGAAATTTCAAAATTTGATAAAGTGATACTCAAATAGTAGGATCTATATAAAATGCGTATTAATTATATTGAATGACTTGATCAGAAGACGCAGCCTTGAGCTTAGAAGAGAACAAGGTAGTAGGAGTCCAAAGTAGTAATGGACACTGAACCAAATAAGAACACTACTCAATGCTGGTTTGGTTCAGTTTTAAGCATTTTTGCGCCATTGACCATGACTGAGTAGCACAACTCGTGGACTGACAAATGGAAATTAGAGCCCTGCTATCCATGACTGGGTGATAGTGTAGTTGTTTAAGCACCAATGTTATGTATAGGTCTTGTGAATGGATTAAATTCTGACATGATACTCGTGATCTGGTAAATGTGATATAATCCACTAACTAATGATGAACCAAAATGTGTTTGTTAATTTATGAAGTGATCTTGGACTTATGGTGATCTAGCCCAATTAAACAATATATTATGAGTAAAGAACTGTGGTATGACATATTTATATAACATATATTTATTATGAGTAATGATTTGATGTCGATTGTAAAATTACTAAGATCACCTAACCATGGACATGATTTTCATTTTATTTATTTATTTTGTATTTTTCTTCAAAGATTTTAGCTTGATAAAGCCATAGAATTTGATTTTTATTTATTTTTTTGTTTTAGTATGTAAAATTTATTTTAGAATTTTGGTTGTTTGGACTGGGCTTAACGGAGCCTGGGGCGTGCACATGAGCCCAAAAATAATATAATAATAAAATAAATATTTTCTGAGTTTAAATATAAAAAATTCTTTTTTCTTTTGAAGGGAGGGGACAAAAACAAATTATTGTTACCATACAAATTATTGTAGTACATATATAAATTAATATTATAAATTTATAAGTACTTGTGTTTATTGCCATAATTTTTTTTTTTTTTTGAAAGTTATTTATTGCCATAAATTTACATGATATGTAAGTGTGTGTATTGTCTTTTACTTATGGAAATTATGGCCTGAAATGGACATGTGTTTGACTTTTAATTGGTTAATGTTGTTACGTGGGACTATGGGAAGCAGTGATAGTTTAAACTTATACTACTACTATATTTGCACAATCCTAAATTTGAGGCCCTTCCAAATTGGAGGCCCTAGGTGACCGTCTGGACCACCTAGGCCCAGGGTCAGCACTGTTACCAAGAAAAGTTTCTTTAGTATAAAGTTCTATAAGAACATTATTTGTAAGCAATTATTACTTATGCTTATTAATTTATCTTTCCATACCTATTAGTGTGTGAGTCATTTATGCTTTTGCATGTCTCATTTCTAAGTACTTTTTTCTTTCATTCTTTTCTTTTTTCTTTTCATTTATTTATTTATTTTGCCCAACCTTGGTTACTAAAAAAACAAAAAAATTCAAAGTAAGGATTCTATTTCTCTCAACAGTAGAAGATATTAGACGGGTTTCATTGCCTGAAGCTGCTTGGTTTGTAGGTATGCTACTCTCTTTTCTCTACCCAAGAAAATTGAAAAATTATGGTCTCTCTATTGGGTCAGAAAAAGAAAAGTTAGCATGTTCAATTTTAAACTAAAGAATTCCATCAAATTCCTTCCTCAATATCCTCAAAAGAAGTATAAGACAATATGATGAAGAGGAAAGAACAACATTTATGCTTGGTAGCACATCAGAATATCACACAGTTTAAGAGAAAAGGATCTACAATAATATCTTGAAAATTCCTGTAGCAAATTAGCCATAGCGATATAATATATGAAGTTGATCACTTATGGTACTTTTGGATGAAGGAATTAATTTGAAATCATGAGATTTGAGGTTTAAATGAAAAATTAGCTATTGAAATTGGATTAAGAGGCTCTAAAGGATGTTAAGTGGAGGTATGATATGCAATTCCCTTGTTGTCGTGGCTTTCAAAAAAATTTGAAATCCATGCATATAAGGCTATCAAATCAATGAATGCATTTTTTTAAAATCTAAATCTTTAAATCTAGTTTAAAGTATACATCTTAAATATTTCAAGTACCTTGATCCAAATTACACCTTACAGTTTATTAGAACAAACTATTTTTTTTGTACAATAAGGAGGTTTCTGCATTCCCAATGTATGTCCCGCCCAGGTGGGGTGCTGGGAGGGAAGATTAGGGACAGACTTAGCTTCGTTATTATGTTTGCAAAGAGTGGCTGTTCTAGGACTTGAACTGCTTACTTGTGAGTTCAAGTTCTAACCATTGCATCAAGCAAGGATGGGATTTTCTGTAATTATTTATTAAGCCTTGGTTTCTATATTCATGTAAAAAAGGTTTTTTCACATTGCTTTGGAGTTTGGACCCAATGGGAAAACAAATTCCAAGAGAACTTAGAATTGTTGAGTATCTGGTGACTTGTACGCATGACGTTCAGTTTTTCTAGCAATGTATCATGCTTTCTGAATTTGAAAAGTTTGATATGCTTTTTATCTTGTTGACTTTTGCATTCATTTAGAAAAGGAACTAGAAATGGTGAGTGCATGGTTTTTGTAATGCATTAAAATTCAAGAGAGAACCTGCAACAATTGATTTTGGCATGGTTTTATTCTGTTTATCTGATGATTTATTACTTAGACAAGAACTCAACATAATTTTCTCTTGTCTTCATTTTGTTAGAATTCTACTATTAATTCCTTTATTAAAATTATGCAGTGGAATTTCTTGAATCAGCAATGGCCCAGAATACATTGGCACAGCGGAAAGAAAAGATAATTGAACTGTTAAGGGATAACAAAGTCAAAATAATTGTTCTTGTTGGGGAATCTGGAATTGGTAAAACATGGACTGCCAGAGAGATAGCCAGGCGTGCAATTAAGGTTGACTTATACAAGATCATCCTTTGGGTGTTTCTGAACAGAGAATATGACAGCAGTGCTCTCCGTGACAGTATTGCTCATCAGTTGTGTCTACTTCCCACCACTGAGGAGTGGGAAAGTGAGGATGACAAAGAGGAGGCAGAGAAGGAGGAGAATGGGAAAGACTTGCAGAAACAGATATATGAAGCACTTAATGGAAAGAGTTTTCTTTTAATTTTGGATGATGAAGGAAATAAAATGGATGAAGGACGGATTATGTCCGAACTGGAAACCCTGCTGAATCTTAGCCAGCAGAGCTCATGTAAGGTTTTAATCACTAGCACGAACAGCCACCTTCCTAAGGAAGGGAGGGAAGTGTTTGAGGTGGAGCCTTTATCCATGGAAGAATCATTGTCTTTATTGCGAGAAAGAGTGGGGACAACAGTTTACGAAGTTCCAGGTATTAAATCATTAGCTGAAACTTTTATCGGAAAGGCTAGAGGGTTTCCTGCTGCAGTTCTCGTGTTTGCTAAAGCTTTAAGTTACTTTGGACAACATGGCTCGGGGGTGAGGTTGCTAGAAAGTGCTTTGGAGGAAGCATTTGATAATGAAAGATGTAACATAACACAGTTACTGTGCACTGGGTATGGAATGCTTTTTTTTCTTAATTGGTACTCACACACACATGCCTCCACCAAGACTCGAACCCCTGACCTCCCTTTAGGAAGTAGAAGCCTGGTACCGCTAAGTCACTGGCCTTTTGGAACGCTGCCGCTCAGTGTTCTAATTGATTGCTGTCGGCATGGCAGCCACTTCTTCCGCAAGCATGGAAGCATTCATTACAATGAGTTGATAGCTTACTGGGTGGTTGAAGGATATCTTGGTCGCATCGATTGTATTGAGAACGCTTATGAGAAGGGACATCATGTTTTAATGGAGCTTATAGATTGTGGGATATTGAAAAAGGTGGAGGCTAATTACATTATCATGGAAGAAGCAATGATGAATTTGGATGACTACCATTGTTGTGGATTTGGTGGGACAGCCAATCTTGGATTGGCTAATGTGTTTGGGAATAGCGAGTGGAAAGGCCTTGGGAAAATCACTTGGGCAGATGGTATGATTAAAACACTTTGTTCTGGTAAACAAGAGCATAAACTATTGACATTGCTGCTCGATGGAAACCGTCTTGGCAGGGAAGTCCCAGACAATTTCTTTGATTCCAAGCAGGATCTCCAAGTTCTTGCCCTTTTTAACCCGACACTGAAGTCACTACCATGTCCCTTGGATAAAATGGTTGATCTTCGTGTGCTTGTGCTCAGAGGCTGTGAATTTTTGGAGAAAATTGACCACACCCAAGCACTTACAAGGTTAACTGTTCTCGAGATATCTGGTGCTACCTCCTTGAAAACAATCCCAGATGATTTACCTGATGATCTTTTTCAGCATATGCCCCACCTTCGGAGCCTCAATATGTCTGCAGTCCAGATTGACAAGTTACCTTCATCTCTTTATGACCTCAATGAACTGTGCTGGCTCATCCTTAGAGGCTGTTCTTGCTTAGTAACACTGGCAAGTCTCAGAAAACTTAATAAACTTGTGGTACTTGATCTTTCTGGTGCTACCTCCTTGATAACTATCAAAGACAAAACCTTTGGTCAAAACAAGGAACTTAAAATGCTTGATCTATCCCAAACCCGGATTAAAAGCTTACCGAAACTACTCAATCTTGGAGATCTCACTCATCTCTCACTAAGTGGCTGTAAAGCCTTAGATAGACTACCCAGCATTCAGTCACTGACCAGTCTACAAAATCTTGATCTTTCAGGTGCAGAAAAGTTCAATGAATTCCATGAGCATTCATTAGAAAGAAATGCTGGTCTCAAAATCCTTAATTTGTCAGAAACTGGTGTTACATGCCTCCCTTCCAACATTAGCAACCTTCGTCATCTCTTTTTAAGACAATGCTCTCGGCTAAAGAGTCTATCTGGAACTGAAGCTCTTAATAAAGACCTCGAGATACTTGATCTTGCAGGTGCTTATAATCTGGTCGAAATCTCAGACAAATTCTTTGAACATCTGAGCTCCCTTCGAATCCTTAACCTTTCAGAAACCAAAATAGAAGCATTACCACCCATTTTCAATCTTTGTAACCTTCGGCAGCTTAATCTTTCAGGATGTAGTGCTTTGACAGCAATAGAAGATAAATCCTTTGATCAGATGTCTTGCCTTCAGAAACTTGACCTTTCTGGAACAAATGTTGAATACCTGCCATCCCTTTCAAATTGTTGCAACCTTCGTCACCTCTTACTCAAAAAATGCACTAACGTGAAGGTACTTCCACAGATTGAATCGCTTTCAAAACTTGAGGAGCTAAACTTATGTGGCATCAACTCTTTGAAAGAAGCTGGAGCTAATTTCTTGGAGCAAATGTACAACCTTCAGATACTTGACCTCTCGGAAACCCAGCTTGAACAGTTACCATCCATGGAAAACCTCAAAAACCTTCGTCAACTTTTCCTGAGAAGTTGCCCACACTTAAAAATGGTGCCACAGTTGGAAGCACTTACAAAGCTTGAAGTTCTGGATCTTTCTGGAACAGCAGTTGAGTCTCTACCACCATTTAACAATTTTAGCAACCTGCGGTCTCTCATGCTTACAGATTGCTTTTGCTTAAAAGATTTTCTGCATCTGGAGATTCTTGATCTGTTGGAAGCCACTGAAATAGAACTTCCCTATGGGATCTCGAAATTGACTCGTCTTGAGCACCTTGATCTGCCAAACACGAAAATAGATGAGAGTGAAAATGTGAAGGCCCCACTAGAAGAGCCAAATCAATATCAGTGGAGCATCTCGAGTTTGCCAGTTGAAACACTCAAAAACAATGATAGATCTCTCATACCTGTAAGTAGTACTCAATTTCTTCAGGTTTTGGAGAAAAATCCCTCCTTGTGGGAAACAAGATTCAAGAAATTTCATTTCTGTGTTCATCCAGTTGATGGGCAAAATACAAATGGGGACAGATACTTTTACCGAAATGAACTTATCTTCAGGGATATCCACTTACAGACCAGGGAACTTGTTCATTGGAAAGAAGAAAGATCGTTGGAGATTTGTGGATTTGATTGTTTTCCCGAGGGTATTGAGGAGCTTCTCAGTCATGCTGACTGTGTACTTTTAATAGATAATATGTCTAAAAGATGGTTATCTGATTTAGGAGCTTCCAACCTCAAGGTAATGAAAGGCTGTTGGATTGAGAGATGTATACAAATGGAGAGTGTTTTCTATGCAGAAGATACTGAAGCTATTGCAAAAGTGGGGAAGAATTTGGAAATTCTAGGTGTTTCAAATGCAGTTAGTTTAAAGAGCATATACAGTGAAAGCTTGCAAAGCGAGGTCTTCCAAAACCTGAAGTATATATATCTAGATTGTTGTCCAAAGCTTTCAACTGTTTTCTCTTCATCACAGCTGCCAGTGAACCTCAAAGTTCTCCATATTAAATTTTGTGATAAATTGGAAACCGTGTTTGACCAAATGTCACCAGATCACCCTGGATTGCTAAAATTAGACATACTGCATCTGTTGGAACTACCACAATTGAAGAGCATTGGGTGCAAGTTGCCATCTCTACAAACTCTAAAGGTCTGGCAGTGTCCAAAATTGCAGAAATTGGAAGAATATATCAATCTGGCTGAAAGTTTACAGATTTTATGGATTTCCAATGTTTCTGATTTGAGGAGGATATACGCTGGCATAAGGCAAACAGAGTGCTACAAAAACCTTAAAACTTTGATTCTTGAGAGTTGCTCTATGCTTGTAAATGTTTTCTCTTCGCCCCAGCCACCAATGAACCTTGAGACTCTCCAAATCAAATCTTGTGATAAATTGGAGACTGTGTTTGAACACAGCTCATCAGCGGACTATACACTGCCAGTGCTGCACACTTTGCATCTGCAAAAACTGCTGAAATTGAAGAAGTTTGGGGGTAAATTTCCATCCCTACAAGATCCTGTTGTCACTGAATGCCCAACTTGCAGAGACTTCCCAGTGGCGTGAATGACAAGGTTTCTGTTACTTACCGGAGATAATGACTTGGGACGAAGATATTAGGTGATCAGGGAATCAGAAACTGTCAGGAAACAAACTTTACCTGCGTCTCATGCCAGATGCTCAAGAAAATTCCCTTGAGATGCTGAACAAGTCTCACCTTTAGCATTCCGCATCAGATTTCAGGTTCTTATTATTATAATTTTTTAATTCACTTCTTTTTATATGCACAGCATCCTTGTTTCATCTTTTCCACTGTACTCCCATCTACATCCAGTTAAAAGAATTATATCATTTTGTCTGCATTAACTCTATCATGACCTTCTTGATGTTTCAGTTCACAAGAAGTCATCTATCAAACAATGAGCCAATCTTTTTTTGACCATTACTTGACTTATGCTAAAATGTTATATCTTTTATCTGTGATATTGAAGGTCAGGGTAAAACAGAAATTACTGATTCCAGGTTAAAGCAATTGGTGTTGTGTCATTAGGCTGCATTTGTTAGTTTGTCATTTTCCATAAGACTTGGAACAAATGCCTATTTTTTATGTATTTGGTGCCTGGATTTTTTGATGATGTAGTACTGACCTGACAGGACTGCCAATGAGTGTACATACATTCATAAAAATGATTCCAATGGTGCTCATGCACTTCTTGGTAGTTAAATATTGGGGGAAAGAAGGGGTAATTACACTTACCTCCCCTGAGGTTAGGCCTAATTACAGGCGGTACCCCTAATGTTTCAAGTATTACACCGCCCTCCCTCAAGGATTGCTTCGCCGTAACACTTAGCCCCCTCCGGTGAAAGTCAACGCCGGTCAATGATATTTTTGATGACATCAACACTTTTTAACCATGTAATACCACATTTGCCCTTACTATATTTGCAAAGACATTTTTATCCTTACTTTTGTATTAAAATAACCTATATACCTAGAATAAAAAAACAAAAAAGCCCTTGTATGATTTCTTTATAAGCTCACTCTCTCTCTACATAATACTACATTCTCTCTCGCTAATAATTCTCTCTCTAAAATTTCTCCACGTGAAGCTAATCCCTCAAGGCTCTCCCTCCACATAAGAACTGGTACTTCAAGATCTGCTACTCCTTCAAGGTCTGTTCTCCTTTAAGGTCTCCTTCAAGGTCTGATATATATATATATATATATATATATATATATGTATAGAGAGAGAGGGAAATAAAATCATATATATTTCTCTCTCAATATATGATGAAATATATATATGATTTTATTTCCCTCTCTCTCTATATATACATACATACATACATACATACATACATATATGTATGTATGTATGTATAGAGAGAGAGAGGGAAATAAAATCATATATATATAGTTACAGTTTTTCCCTCCATCTTTCATATTTTGTGATTTTATTTAATTATTTTATTTTTCCTTTTCATTATTGCTTAACCAGATGTCTCAGTCAAGCTCAAATATTGCAAGAGGCAATGCTCCAAGGAATTTGAGGTACAATAGTATGACTTGTTATTGTGGTGTAACAGCTGCAATAAGGGTTACAATTTACGACACTTATCACAACAAAGGGAAGTTGTATTATACCTGTGAAAGAAAAAAATGTTCATTGTGGGAGTGGTGCAACCCCATTGGTACAATAGGTGGTTATGAATCATCTACAAATCAAGATGGTGAAGTTCAACCGAATGATGATGTTGCTTATCTGAGAGACCAATATGAAGCGATGAATAGGATCTGATTGAAGCAAGAAATGGACAAATGAAGATGTTCATTATTGCAGCTTTGTTGTTGTCTTTCTTAGCCTTGTTAAAAACATTTTAGTAGCTATTAAGTTTGTACTGTGTTAAGAAAAAATATGACATTTATGTGTTCATATGAGCTAGAAGCAATGTAAGTCTGTTTTTGAAGAAATATGACACTTATGTATTCCATATAAACTAGAAGCAATATAAGTCTATTAAGAAGAAATATAAAAGTTATATAGTATGAACTCCATTGCAAAACACAGTGGCATGCAAAAATAATCAAAAGCTTATATAGTATGAACTCCATTGCAAAACACAGTGGCATGCAAAAAATAACCAAAATCTTATATATAGTTCAATCCAACTGTCTCTACTTCATTACATACACAAAACAACCAAAAGTATACCCAAGACCCATGAGTATAAGTATGTAATTATATCTTGTCCAAGAACCTATCCAACAATATCCCAAAAATTGTCAACAAGTAGCAAGCAAAGTTTCCCAAAAGTGACAGGTTATCCACATATGCTCCAAATGCAACTCTAACTATGAGCAAACATTTGTCCACATGCCATCAAAACAAAATAGTAACATCAAAAGTGATAGGTAGTTATCCACATATGCTCCAAATAAGAACACAAAAAACATTCTTCAGGGGAGGCCAGAAGGATTGAAACAGTATGACAGTTACCACACTGCCTGTGGAAAACAAATAAATGGAGTTCAAAAAAAAAAAAAAAAAATTAGAAGAAGAAGAAGAAGAAGAAATGAAATATATAACTAAAATTTACATGACACTATAATTTACCATGTCAGAAGAGGTACCACTACCAAGTTGGGGTTGAGACATAGACGCACCCCTCCCACCTCTAACTGCCTAAGTCAAACAAACAAAACAATTTCAAATAGCTATATGGCCAATAAAGTAAATCTGTAAATGAAAAAATAAAAATAAAAAAAATTACCATTTGAGTTGTCCCTCTACCAAGTTGGGGCTGAGAACTGCTTGCACCAAAACTCCATGTAGCACCTGGGGGTTGAGAATTGCTTATACCACCCCTCCCACCTCTAACCGCCTGAGTCAAACAATCACAACAATTTCAAATAATTGTATGACCAATAAAGTAAATCTGTAAATGAAAAAAATAAAAAAAATAAAAAGTTACCATTTGAGTTGTGCCTCTACCAAGTTGGGGTTGAGAACTGCTTGCACCCAAGGGCTGTGATAAACCCCCCTTCCTAACTCTCTGATATTAAAAAACAAACAAAACATAAGAATAAATGGCATGGACTAATTCAGTTTTTATTAAAAAACTGAATTATATTAAACCAGATAATTAAATTACCTGAGATGTGCTTGAACTTTCCTCTGGACCACTTGCATTTGTAGCTTTTGAAGAACTTCCCTTCTGGACCTTATTTGCATTTTTTGGACATGTTCTTTTGTTATGTCCAAAAGCCTTGCAAATCATGCATCTTATGGTCATTGACCTTCTCACTTGACTAGTCCCTGTTGCAGGTTCATCTGCATCTCTTCTTTTATTTTTCTTTGGCCTACCAAGCCTTCTATAAGGTGGAGGAGGATCAAGTGGATCACCATGAGCAGGTGGCCATAGTTTTGAGTCAACTATGGGATGTATCATTCCCCCATGAGCTTCCAAATAAGCATGCTTACTAAATTTTTCATCATAAAATAGCTCAATATTCATTCTCTTGTAAGCCATTGCAGCAGCTGCATGCTTGTAGGGGAGGCCAGAAATTTGCCATGCCCTACATACATAAGTCCTAGCACCAAGGTCTACCACAGTTCTACCAGTTTCATTCATTATTTCATATTCATCCGCTCCAGCAAAGATGACACTACATTGTCTAGATTCCTCTATGAGTTGGTTCAACCTCTTCCTAATGTTAGGAGTCACCACTGTTTGCTAACTGCATGCCACCTCATACCTCTTTTGAATCCTACCCATCAATTGCATCCTAATCCATTCTAACATGTTCAGAATTGTATTATTTCTTTGTGCACCAACCCAATTGTTAAATGATTCACTTAAATTGTTTGTGACATGATCATTTTTCACATTTTCATCAAACCCATGCCTAGACCATGATGATACAGGCAATTCCATCAAATTATTATACCCTTCTTCTGTAAGATTCCTCAAATGCCCCATGGCAATATCAAAGTCAGCTTGGTTGTAAGCTCTTGTAGCTCTCCAAAAGTACTTCCTTAACAACAAACCAGGGTACTTCTTTTTAAAGTTATTAAATAAATGTCTACAGCAATATCTATGGTGGGCCTTAGGAAAGATATAAGAAATTGCAGAATCCAGTCCCTATATAAAATAGTAAAAACAGTGTCAATAATTAAATTTACCAAAGACATAAAATAAAAATTAAAAACATTCAATATAAAAATTCCTTTTGTTGGTCAGACATGAAAGTCCATGGGTTGTCCTCAAAATCTTTGCCAATCATAGTCTGCAGATGTGTTAGAAAAAAACCCCAACTTTCCCTTCCTTCACTTTCCACAACACCATAGGCTACTGGGAAAAAGGCCATTGTTGCCATCTAGTGCAGTGGCTGTAAGTAGAACACCACCATAGGGTCCTTTCAAATGGCAGCCATCTAGACCAATAAATGGTCTACATCCTTTCTTCAAACCAGTGGCCAGTGCCTCAAAACAGATGAAAATTCTGCTAAAGACTGGGTTCATATACAAATTTGCCCTAAACCTCTTAATTTTAGCCAAGCTTCCTGGATTTGTTTTATCAATTTCATTTGCATAAGCTGGAAGTAATGTGTAAGCTTCAGCATGATTACCCCCAATTTCCTCTAGTGCCTTCCTCTTTGCCCTATACAACTGCATTCTACTAGGTTCAATTCCATATTGTGTCTTCACTGCAGCTCCCAAAGATGCTATTTTAATCTCCGGATTCTCTCTTATCCTATCTGCAAACTTCATAGCAATCCATGTTGATGTTGCTTCCCTAAAAGTGCTCTCCTTCACACAAGTATGCTCTTTGTTTATTGTTTTAATCTGATAGGTGATTTTATCAAAGAGAGGTGATGCATGTATCATCCATGGGCAACTTGTAGCAGCACAATGACATCTTATTCTAGCTTTTTCAATTTTTTTCCTAACCATTTTAAAACACTCTTGAATTGCATAATCCCTCAACACTTCCCTAAATTTTTTAATATTGTCAAATAGGTGACCTTTTACTAGCTCTATCTTTTGTCCTAGAACTCTATGAAATTCTATCCCAAACAAACATTGATCAAATGCTTTACCCTTAGCCCTATCTTTTTTATCAGTATCACCCAATATTTCAATACTTGATTCTGATCCACATTCATCCCCTGACCCATAATTTGACAAACCATCATCACTACTTATTTGAACTTCCCCCATAGTACCTTCATCTACTAGTCCACTATTACTAGAATACCCTTCATTTTCATCTTCCCATTCCTCATCTTCTAAACTGAAACCAAATATATAATCTCTATCATCCTCATCTTCCTCATCACCATCCCTTACCCTACCACCCCTCTCACCACCATCCCTTACCCTACCACCCCTCTCACCACCATCTCTCTCACCACCACTTACATGAGCACCCCTTGGACAACCATCCCTTTCACCATCCCTCATAGCACCATTCTTCTCATATACCATGTTTAAATTTTCAACAGTTTCTAACTCAACATGAACATGAACAAATTTTTTATAAGGATTAGTATGCAAGCTAAACATTTGTAACATATCAGCATCACTCTGCACTACCATTTTCTCATTACTCCCAGGCAAATCACAATGCATGATAATTGGACTCCTAATTGTGCAGGTAAATTTTCTAAAGACACTTGTAAAACATCATCAATCAAATCAATAAAATGGTACCTATCAGGATCAATATTATAAATTACTTTCACAGTGGACTTGTAGTGCACAATAATGTCATGCAATTCAGAATCTGCCATCTGTTTATACCACATAAGAAAAAAACATTAGGATACATATAACAAAATCACATGCATATTTCAAAATAACAGCACAATTTTCTCAGTCTAACACATATTAATATGGAAAAATCAAAACACAAAAACATTAGGATAATTATAAAAAAATATCCAGTAAGTGGAAATTCATTATATATATGGTAATCTAAAATAAAAGATATAGAAATAATTTAGTCAAAATTCATTATATATATAGAATACAAAAAACATTTAGAAAAAAAAAAAATTCCATATATGTAATGAATTTTGACTAAATTATTTCAATATGGTAATCTCAACACATATCAATATAGAAAAAAAATTCTATATATATAATGATTTTTCACTAAATTATTTCAATATGGTAATTTTCACTAAAATTTTAGAAACCAAACACTGTGAACAACTATACTGTAAACAAAAAAAAAAAAAAAAAAAAAAATCTAGAATATGAAACAACGTTGCATAAAAAAAAATAATTATAAATAAAAATAAAAATAAAAATAGGATGCATATAAAAAAAACCTATCCAACAACTGATATAAGTGTTGATACGAAAAAAAATTCTCTGACAATAATTACATACCAGATATAAGTGTTAATTATGTCTTGTCGAAGAACCTATCCAACAATATCCAAATTCAAAAAAAAAAAATTATGATGCATATAAAAAAAATCCAGATTAAAAAAAAAAAAAAAAAAAAAAAAAAAAAAAAAAAACTCATACTATAAACAACTATACTCGTTACATATTAATATGGCAAAATCAGAATACAAATTAGGCAATATATATATATATATATATATATATATCAGAAACGAACCATGAACAACTATAACAAAAACTCTAAAAATCACTGCGAAAATAGACATGCATAACAAAATAGCAATGAACAAGAACCTATTATATATCTTTAAAACAAAAACCCTAAGACCTCAACAAGAATAGCAAAACCCCTAAATTTTGTCAAAAAATTGGGCTTACCTTCACCAGCGATGCGTGCTTCTGAAAAAATATTACACTGATGCCTACTTGTTGGACGATTATGGGTTATGTAACGGCTAGCAAAGATAACAGAAGATCAGAGTCTTTAGAAATCTAGGGTTTGAAAGGCAACACATTAAACTCTTCACCTCTGTGCTTCTCCATCTTTTTCTTTTATTTCTCTCTCGAACCGGCTGTATGAGATGTGTAAAGGAAATAAAATGGTTCTGTGATATAAATAAAGGAAATAAATGGGTTGCCTGATATAATGAGTGAAATGAAAGGGTTGCAGATGATGGGACTTAGCCGTCAGTTTTTTTCCCTCCAAAACTATTAGGGACAATTTAGTAATTTCAAATCAAAGATATTCTTTATGTGATATTAATAAAATATTGAAGGGTGTTTTAGTCATTTAACATAGTCAAGGGCCGGAATAAAATGTCGATCAGTTTGGGGGGAGGTTAGTGTAATATTTGAAACGTTAGGGGTACCGCTTGTAATTAGGCCTAACTCCAGGGGAGGTAAGTGTAATTGCCCCGGGGAGAGAATAAGGGGAACTAATGTTACCAACTCAATATTTTTTGATAAAACCCTCCTCAAGTTGTAAGGCTTGGCTAGAGGTTTTTCATCTCTACCTATTATTACACCTCAATATTTATGAGACTGAGTTTTCGGTGAAAGAAGTTAACGAGGCTAAAGCAATGGGGATTGTAAAGTTTACACAATAGCCTATAGATTAGTTTTGGAGTTGCCACATGTGTTTTAGGTCAACTTAAACAAATGGTTTTTGAAGATCAATGTACTAATAGATTGATTTTCTAATAACTTACTTGGTATTTGAAAATCGTATTACAAAATGCCTTTTTGAACTAGTGACTTTGTAACCATGTTACAAGAGCATGATCACAATTGTAGAGGCTCCGTTTACTACCCACAAAACTTTCATAAATATTGTGACTACATTTTGTTGTATCATTCCCCTATCTTTACCAAATTTGGTTATAGTGTTGTCAGTTGTGTCCACAAATAAAAATTGAAGCTAGAAGTAGAGGCAAGGCTATATCAAGAAATAGAAGAGTGCATGGTTTTTGATGGTGTATACTAAAAATGGAACGAGTTTTAACCAATGAAAACATGTTTTGGAAAACCACAAAAATTAAATATATATATAAAAAATTTTAATCAAAGAAAACGTGCTTTGGAAAACCAAAATTGTAACAAGTTTGTTTCAAGAAAAGAGAAAACAACATAAACAAATTTCTAAAAATATAGAGAACAAACTACAGGATTGCAATTCATTTCCTTCTGGGGGGTTTTTCGTGATATATTAGAAGAGTTGTTTTATGTATTAGTCATCTCATGAACTTTACTTACAAATAAGAAAATATTATTTATATTAAAACAAAGGGGTGATTTTCTTAAAAAATGATTTTAGAAAAATAGTTATGGGAATTATTTTTTAAAGTAGAATAATAAGAAAATATGTTTTTAGGCCTTCTTGGAGTTAGTAGGTTTTGTTGGTCATTTTTGGGTAGATTTGGATAACTTTGTTACCCCCTAAAGGACTCCGACATTTTTAGATGAAAAAAGTAATTAAATTACTCCAACTTGTATCATATTTTTATTTATGCATGCATGGAAGCGAAATAACACCTAGGAAATGATACATCACATTAAGAAAAAGTGTGGTTTCTAGTTTCGAAAACTTTGGTTGTAAACCTTGTGCTTGCTAAGGATGTTTCCTCCCATTCATATCCCTTCATATTTTCCACTCTTTTGTCCTTTTATTTTCCCTTTTACCTATTTTTGTCTCCAAAAGCATTCTGAATATGAATGTTACACGTATTAATTGGTATAGAGATTCATCTTAGTTGACTGATAGACTGCTTCTTTAGAAATGAAGGTTATAAATATATCAAGAGAGTAACATGACCGCTAAGGAAACAATCTTTTGGCAATTATCAGGCTTGTTTTCCTACAACATGACATGGTCAAGGCGCTGTTGCATTGTCGGAAAGCTTTTTGTTTTAACATGTTGATGTAAGAGGAGGTGGAAGCACTAATGATCGATGCTGCAACTTCAGGCCTTTGCACTTTGGTTAGTAAAGTGCCGAACTCTTTTCATTGGTTTGGTAATAAACCAAGGGTACGTTTGCATTTAAGGATTTGGGTTAGATAGATTTAAAATCTTGGACCCAAATCCATGGAACTCGTTTGGATGTTTATTTTGGCTTATGGTTTTTAAATCCAGGCAAATCTGAGCATGGTTTTTAAATCCATGGGACCCAAAACCGTGGATTTGAAAAAATAACTCGAGAGGTGTTATTTGCGAAATCCGTGTCGACTCTCGATTTTGACCTCGATCCCAAACTTTCAGCACCAGCATAGCTTTCTGAGGTACGTATCTCGCTCTTACACACAGACACTCTCTCTTTCTCTCTAATTTTTTTGCTCCTGAGTTTATTCGAAACTCCAACCCTAATTTCATTGAATTCAACAATAATATCTTCTTTTTGTGTGTACATATATGTGATATCAAAATGACCATCCCTGTTAATGCAATAATGCCCATCCCTGTCTCAATGTGTGAAATCTGGGAAGAAATTGAATGTTCAAGAGGTAGCTTCCTAAAACTGTTTGTTATATTAACTGTAATATGATGGTTCGTCACCTCCCTCATAATGAAACATTAATATCAGATATTCAATTTCTTCTCTTTATTACTTTTTCATGGCTGCCAAACATCCATTGTCAATTGAAATCTACGTTATGTGACAATGTTCGATTATTGCTTCAGTTTTAGTGGGTTGTTTCATAGACTCATACCATTTATGAATAAATTGTTTTTGTTCCATTTCGTTTTATGACTGCATTCTTGCAGATTTTTCAGATAGGTTATATTATCTAGAAAGTTATCCTTTTGAAAAATTTCTAAAATGTCAGTAGGGTGGTTTAGGCAGTGAAGATTGTGGCACTGTAGCTACTATATAGCTTTAATGTGAACTGTTAATTTGACTATATCTTGTTTATTTATTATGGTTATGCTCAAGCAGCTTTCATCTAGTGAACTCTAATTGTTTATGAACTAGGTTTATGAAATCAATTATAAAATGTTTGTATATTTTGTAGGCAATCCTAATGTGCGTGGCATGCAAAATGAAGTGATAGCGAATTGGGTGGCATTGTTTTCCTTTGTAGGGAGGATAGAGCCACTAGCCATGGTGCAGCAACATTTGAAGGAGCGGACAATTGAAGAAGAAAAATAATGCAAAATTATATTCTTTTGGCACCGCCATTAGGGCGACCTTCACCTCAAGCCAATGTTGTGACCGAAGTGACAAACTTAGTAAGAAAAACAAGAATGGTCTTGACCTACCAGTTTGGAGATGCATGAGGTGGTCACTGAAGTGCCTGAACTAACTAGAGAATGAGCGGCAATTTGGAGCAGTTCGATTTGTTGAAATCTCTTTTTGTTATTTCTACCTTTTGTTATTATTCAATATGCTAAAATCAAACACTTGTTTCTCTGCTACGATGTTGTACGTTTTCTTTTAGGTCATGGGGTTTATGATGTAATAATATCTTGTGATGTTTGGACAAAAAGCAGACTAGATACATGGTGGTATACAACATTGTGTTTTTCTTTTTCTTGTTATATATATATGTTTGTAAATAAATATATATCTGTCACACTTCCCGATATGAACTTTTAATATAGAAAGGAGGAAATACTATTTGAATGGGTATGAATAAGGCTGTCGTAAGTGAAAGACTATTTTTTCACCGGCAAGAAAGGACATTAATATATATATATATATATATATATATATATATATTTATATTTAGAAACATTGAGTACAACCACACTAGTTATATTTAGAAACATTGAATACAACCACACTAACTTTCGACACCCTTCAACTCTTATCTATCAACAACAACCACCACCTTCCAGACTCAACCGGAGAAAAGACTCCGAAAGTCTTGCGAACTGCAACTTTTTGAAAGTTACTTTTGACCCACTGGATAGGGAAATATGGATACATATTTTGACGAGAAGAGTCAGCTACAACTTTTTCAAAGTCCTCCCCAAGGACCCCAACTTTCATAATTACAAATATTTATAAAATAAAAAAAAATAGAAACATGTTGCAGATATGAGCTACACTTCATTTATAAGGCCCGAAAATTTTGTAGATTATAAACTTGACCCACTGGATGGGGAAATATAAATCCATATTTTGATGAGAAGAGTTAGCTACAACTTTTTCAAAGTCCTCCCCATTCCCCAAGGACCGAGCTTTGATAATTATAAATATTTACAAAATAAAAAAATTAAAAACATGTTTTAGATTTGGGCTCCACTTCATTTATAAGCCGTGGAAATTTTGTAGATCATAAATACTCTATCCATTCCAAAAAAAAAAAAAAAAAAAAAAAATTGTCCAATCTTTTATTTTTTGACGGTTCAAAAATAATAGAGGGTTTTATTTATGACTTTAGTCCTATTCTATTTGAATGGTTGCACTGAGTAAAATACTCCTACGACTCATGTCCTTGGTCATTATGCAGGCCCTAGGACAGTTGGATTGCGATGTGATGTGAAAGCGGTGTGATGTGAAAGGAAGAGCGTGACAAGTCACAGGTGGTCCCTTAAATCTTACAGTATATTCTACATATATGATTGTTTGCATTTAAATTTGATAATAAAAAGACTTACAGATCATTTAAATATCTTCTTATTATGCTGATAAATTTATCCAATAATCTAATATAGAAAATATTTGAAAATTTGCAAATTAATTATTAGAGTATCTTCAAAAATTGTCCAATAAATAAACAATTAATCACGTGTCATACTCAAGATCTTACGTAACTTTTACAAATCCATTGATTCACTGATGGAATGAGAAAGAGGGAGAAGAGAGAAAATATGATGATGTGATTGTGTAAAAGGATTAAATAAAATATATAATAATTTTACACATTAATGAGGTGACAATATATTTTAATATGTTGAAAAAAAAAAATTATTTACCACACACATAAACTCTTATCAATCAGCAACAATCACCACCTTCCCCACTCAAAGTTTATTTCAAATTTGAAGAGCAAAGACTCCACCACTAAGAGCATGTGCCACGGGCTCGCGAAATCCCAAATTTCGCGAGCTTAAGGCCCTTTGCCCGTGCAGCGGCCTAGCCAAAAATGGTGGGGCCCAGTTTGCCTCGCAGGGCGGCTCACGGTATTCAGCGAGCTGACCCTCAAATGCTAATTTTTTTTTTTTTTTTTTTTTTTTTTTTTTCTGCAAAATGGCACCATTGTTGGTTGCCTTTTTTGTTTTATTCTGACGCTTCTGGAACAATGCCTTAAGGCACTGTTTGGCAGAATTTTTTTTTTTTTTTTTTTTTTTTTTTTTTTAAAAGAACCTAGATATAGGTTATTTTGAGCTCTTTTTTTTTTTTTTTTTAAAAAAAAAACATAATAAAATTTATTAAATAAAAATATATATTGTTTAGGTACTGTTTGTCAAAAATTAATTTTATTTAGGCCAAAAATAAATTAAAAAAGCTTTTTTTTTTCCCTTAAAATTTGTTTTTATTTTTTATTTGTTTGCTTTAAATTTTAAATGTATACCACAAACAATGCATTTGGCCGTTAAGACACTGTTTGACTAACACAAATAGTGCTTTAACGGCTATAATTTTTTTTAAAAAAATATATAATTTTTTTTTAAACTTTTTTAAAAAAAAAAATTTAAAATTACAAATTCATTTACTTATTCTCATAAGATTTTGTAATCTTTATTTTCTTATTCCAATTTATTATTTTTAATCTTAAAAAACCATTATATAATAAAAATTCTATTACACGAAATGTCATAACATCTTAAAAGCAAACAAAATACAACATAAATTAAACATCTTTATTACCATAGCAGTTCCACAAATTTTTCACAAATCATTCCTCAACCACGTATTTGTCTCTCTGTTGCGAATCTGAAGTTGGCGAGAGAATATGTGTGCCGCTAAAACCAATGGGTATCGACTTAAAAATATAGCCGTTTAGGAAATTTTTTTTTTTAAAAAAAAAAAAAAAAAATTCGGAGAGCCTGATGGAGTGCATGTTTCTAGAGAGTGAAAGCTGCTGACGTGATTTTTGAAATTGCTGACGTGACTCTTGAAAAAGCTGATGTGGCATTTTTAAAGAGTTGGTGCAGATGGCCTAAGCCACAAAGTTTTGCGAGTTACAACTTTTTCAATGTCCACTGTTGACCCACTGGATGGGGGCATATAGATGGAATATTACATATAAGTGGTACTAATGACTCATTTTTATCATTTAATGAAGTCAAAATCTCACAGTTTCAAAAAAATAAACATATGAAAAAGGCTGTTTACTCTCATAGAAGTATCACATTTAAACATATAAATATCACTTTTTGTGCACACAGATACCATTTTTTATCATCACGTAGTTCAAATAAAAAATCTAAAGTCCAAATAAAAAATCTATTGAGCCTCTTCCCATACTTATGAATTCTAGTGCACTCCGAAATGATACAAATGAATAATTATTTTGAACTACTTGAATTGTTTTGCTCCTGCATCTTCCGAGAGGGAAAAAAAAAAAAAAAAAAAAATTCTGAAAGTTGTTTCTTGAACTCAAAAGAGGATAGTTGGATTCACCTAAGTACTAAAGAATGTATTGAATTAATTGGAGTTCACATAAACATAATCGAAAAAAAAAGAAAAGAAAAAAAGAAAGGAATTATAATTGAAAGATATTTAATAAAAAACTTGCTGAACTTGAAATCTTATTCATATAGAAAGACGTCAAATATTATCGGTGTTTTTCGTTTGAGTTTCGGTATAATTTTTTAGCAAATTTTTATTATTATTTTATTTTACAACTTTTTTTTGGCATAGTTGTTTTTTATGTCTGTGAAAAGCAATAATGGATTTTTTTTATTGCTCGATTGGTCCCCTTTCCTACAAGTGAAACCACTCGCGTCTTTGTTGAGTGTACTCTAAACATTACAAAGTTGACTCTATTTGTTTAGTCTTTCTATAATGGCTAGTATTACACTGTATATACACAACGTGTACTTTCTATAATGGTTATTACACCGTTATATACACAACTTGTAGGGGTACATGTGTGTGTGAGTTCATTATTGCTTGGGGCTGCCAACCAGCAAATTCTCACACACACTGTTCTTCTGCCATTGAACCTCCTTGTTCCTACACTATGTCAGCTGAACCCCTTTCATCTTCACATGTAGTTCCTTCCACCGAAATCGTACCGGTCAATGACTCCAATCCCCATCCTTCTTCCGTCAGCAATTTTACAGAAATCACGACAGCCCCAAATCAAATCGTCAATAAAGCAAACTCCAAACCAATTCCATCAGATCAAAGCTCCGAACCAAAACCAAGTGACAACAAAAAGGTGAACGTTCAAGCCAACGGCACAAATGAGCATAATGAAGTTGAGGTGCTTCGCAACTGGATCGATTCAGATCTCAAATTCATCGAAAAGACCTCCAATACGATCAACAATTACAAAGATCAAATCGAGGAGGTTTCGAGTAAGTTCAAGGAGATTAAAGAAACCGGAAGTCGGGATGACTTTCGCGCCCTCAAGAAGATGGTGACGAAATTGAAGCAGCAGATCTCTTCCAAGAACAAAGATGAGTCCACGCGCTCCAATGCAAAAGTCAAACTTGGCAATGACAACAAGTCGCTCGACAAAATGCCCAAGTTGTACGAGGAGCCATTGTTCGAGTGTAGCCCGGCATTTCAAGATTTTCAGCTACTTTATAATAGCCTCGAAACGGAATTGAAGCTGTGTTTATTGTGTTTTTCAGTGTTCCCGGAAGATGCTGTCATAAAGAAGAGGCTTATGGTCTATTGGTGGATTGGAGAGGGTTTTATACCGCCAATTCCAGTGATTGGGCCAGCTCCGAAGACTGAAACCGCGGAGGAGTTGGGCAATGAGTTCTTCAACGAGCTTATGGTGAAGGGCTTCATCGAGCCGTACTATGAAAAGCGCAGCCTGGAAGTGCACAGCTGCAAGATGCATCCTTTTGTTCGTTCTGCAGTAATTATGCTCGCCAAGAAGGCCAAGTTCTTTGATTTTGATGAAAAGGGGAATGTCACTGGGAAATTCTCCAATTCTCTCCGGGCATGCTTAGCGGGTGAAGGGTTGATAGAGATTCAGAATTTGGAGCCCCTTCATATGGTGTTCAATGTTAATGAGCCTTCGGTTGAATTCAAGCTTGAATGGTTTCTGAAGATGATAAATGTCAATGTTCTTTATTTGGGAAGGTGGCAGGCCTCAGCCACACATCACATTGAAGTTGATGATCTTAAATTTTTGGAAGGGTTGATGAAGATGAAGCACTTGAGACTTTTTAGCCTTCAAGGAGTTTCTAGAATTACAGAGCTTCCCAAGTCCATTTCAAGGCTTGGGAATCTGACGATCCTTGATCTCAGAGCCTGTCATAGTCTTGAAGTACTTCCAGATGGAATTGGCTCGCTCAAGAGTTTGACACACTTGGACATGTCTGAGTGTTACTTGCTAGATCAGATGCCAAAGGGGCTTGCATCACTCTCCCAACTCCAAGTTCTCAAGGGATTCTTTGTTGGAAAGTCCAAGGGCAAAAGTTCCTGTACTCTTGACGACTTGGCAAAATTGCGTAAGCTGAAAAAATTGAGTGTTTACACAGGTCTGAAGCACTTCCCAGCAGAGGCAGATCTTTTTGCTTTTCAACACTTTGAAGGGCTATGCAAGCTGACAATAGCATGGGGTCGGGGCTCTTTAGAAGATGAAACGGATAAAAGTGGTAAGCAAGCTAAAGATGCTGGAAAATCAACGGCACCAAACAACACGAACCAAGAAAATAAAGGCTGTTCACAAGCTAAAGAAGACAAGACGGCTGAGCAAGCGAAAGATGCTGGAAAATCAACAGCACCAGACAAGATGAACCCAGATAATAAAGGCTCTTCACAAGCCAAAGAAGACAAGAAGGCGAAGCAGGAGAGTGGTGCCTCGAAGACGAGAGCTGCAGACACCCTGACTGAAGAGAAGAAAGGAGGTATCACAAAGAAAGGCGATAGTACAGCCGCAGAAGCAACAGCAGCTTCTGATAAACCAACGCTTTTTCGCCCAGCTATCAAAAGATCACATGCCTTTAAGCATAAGGCCTTTAAGCTTCCGACACTTCCTTCACAGCTCAAAAAACTGGATCTTCAGTGTTACCCTATGAATATTTCACCCAGTTGGCTGATGCCTGCCAATCTGAAGGGCCTAGAGAAACTCTACATCAGGGGAGGGAAATTTTCTGACCTGGGTCAATTTCAGGACAAGGGGGGAATAGTCATGCCAGAACAACACAAGTGGAATGTTGAGGTATTGCGTCTCAAATACTTGAATGAATTAGAGATGGATTGGAGAGAACTGCGGGAGTTATTTCCAAAATTGATTTTCTTGGAGAAAGTAAAATGCCCCAAACTTGCTTTCTTCCCATGTGATGAGAAGGGAGTGTGGATTAACAGAGCAAAGAAATGAAAGCAGTGGCAAGAATTTGCATCATGAATTTGTATGGTCTTTTTTTTTTTTTTTTTTTTTTTTTTTTTTTTTTTTCATGTCATTTGATAGTGGCTAATGCTGTGTATTCTGTTCAGTTTCTTAGTTCTTCATCTGTTTAATTTTTGTGGATTTCACAAATTGGTGATTTTTTCTTGCACCTTCAGCCGCAATAAACTGTATGTGTGTTTTTGTTACACCAAGCCATGTGAAATATTTTTGGCGATCAGTACATCTTTACAATTGATCTATCAGAGTCTTGTGTCTACTTTCCTAATAAAAATGTAAAAATGTAATTTGAGGAGTAACAAAGAGCATGTATTTTCACTTTGATATAAAGCAATCAAAGATTGAATGATAAGTTGAACTGTACAAATAAAAGATGAGGATTTTAGTTTTTATTTGGAAAAAAAAAAAAAAAAAACCTTCTAAGATCAAGTAATCAACTGCAAGAATTTTAGACTTGCTCCTGTGGATGTGAAGGGAAAACATTGACAGCCTATTAGAGTTGGCCTTTCTATTGACCTCAATTGCAGGGTTGATATTCTTATCTCTGTGGTTCTACGTAGCTTAGTGCAGCCTTCGACAGAGATCATTTCCATTAAGTTGACCTTAAATTGTGGGTAGAAGCCCTTATTGAGTTCAGATGAAACGAGTCCCATACGCACACGTGTCGGGCAAATGCCCATTGCATATCCTGATCGTCCAAGTTTGCTTGAACCCATGGACATTCTGTTGGGAAGCAATGTCTCCAGCACTACCACTGCACTATGAGCAATAAGAACCTGTTGAAGTAATGATAATGGATGTTGAGGAAAATGAAACTGTTTTTCTTTTTCCATCATGCACGGGGCACGTGCCCCTGAGTTGGTCAACAACCTATAATATATATGGTAATTTTTTTTAAAATTTCTATATATATGAAAAAATTTATACAGTGCCCCCTCAAATTTTTAGTTCCTAAAATTATATATATATTTTTTCTTTTATTTTTTACATTCCTTAAATTTTCTTAGTAGAAAAAGTCAAATTTTTCTTCCTCAATTGAAACTTTTTAATTATTTCCTTTTAAAGTTCTCTCATTTTTCTTTCCTTTTATATTTTAATAATTTTTTTCTTTTTTGTCTTTTGAATTTTATAGTTGTTATATATATATACTCCGAATTATTATTATTTTTTTGACAGCGTGCCCCCTCTCGCTTGAAATCTTGACTTCGTCACTATGCACATCTGCACCAATTTATTTTCCCCAGCAATTTCAGTAGCCTTATTTACTCATACATAGGTTTTAGCATCTGGTATCGTGCGGACGAAAATTAGTAAAAATGGAGATGAGAACATCGTTTAGATTTATATCTGTACTTAAAATTGGAATTATCGGACATAGAAAGGGGCCTCCAGCCTCCAAAAGGATAATTCCTTTGGAGCAGTGATGTTGACTGTCACGATTGATCAATAGACGGGGTTGGCATAGTCGATACTGTCCATAACATTCCTCCTTCTATCATGTGCAATTGGAGTGTCACACTAGGCGATTGATTTGAATGGTTTAGAAATATTAAAAACCAAATAAGAAGCAATTTGAGGTAATTAAATTATGTCAGCCATTTCATTAGTTTGCCGAGTTTATCCTGTATGATATGTGCTTCTGGTACATCTAATTGAAGGTAATGGTGACCATTATGGGACGACCATAACATAGGACTTTCCAACTGTTGTGGTTCGTGAAACACTTCCACATTTCTTTTTCCAACTAACTAGTGTGAATGAATTGTTGCTATAATGGAGACTTGGAAATGTCTTCCCTTTTAGGTCTCACATTTCTTCTGTTTAAATATATACTAAAAAATAAAACTTCCACTTGATGTATAATAATAAAACTTTGTTGTTAGACTACAAAATAAAAAATCCACTGGATGCATAATAATAAAACTTTATTGTTAGATTCTCTTTTTGGAATTTTGTATTTACATGTTATGAAACTTCCACTTGATTCATTAGGTTTTGATTATTAAATTTCTGTTTAATGTGCCTACCTTAGTGTCACACCCCGCAAGGTTCAAGTCCGTGACACTAGGTTGTCTTAGTTTGAGGCATTAAAAGATTAATATCTGCTACCGTATATTTTAAACCACGTTCCAACCCGATCAATTTCTCAAGAATATTTTTCAATCACAAATGCAGCTCAACTTCCTTGAATAGAGACCTGAAAATAATTATTCTTGATAATCTAAAAATTAATATCACTCTTTGGAATTTTTTTCATATGTATTGAAAAGATTATGCTTGGGCTCATTGCTGGGTTTTTTGACTATTGGATGGGTCATGGGCCCAATTATTCATTTGTCTGTTTCTCTTTCTTTTTTGCTTTTACTTTCTTTGTTCCCTTTTCATTTGGAAAAAGATGTCTGAAACTTTTAATTAGTGTGAATTAATTGAAGAGGACTATTACAGCACATGCTTGAGCATGGCCCAGGACAGGTCATACACCTGATTGATTTATTTATACTCATGTCAAATACTTATAAAATATGTCAGAGGTAAAAAAAAAACAAAAAAAAATTTGATGACATACTTTAATGAATAAAAGGTTAATGCCAGATGTTTTGATAAGTTAACAATTTCCTACTGTGAGAAAAGAAAGGAATCACTCTGCGAAGGCTGGACCTGAGGTGTTGACTGCCGGAGAAGTTATGGCCACAACAATAATGTGGGGGAAATTGCTACAAGTAGTGTACCCAGCATAACAAAAATCACGACCAAAAGTTACTTAGATTCTCAAGGCTAAATGAAGAAATTGGGTAGAGTTGGGAAGGGGTGATGGGGGTTATACAAATTATCTTATTTGCTGCTAATTTTATACCGACATTCGTATCTATAAACACATCTGAGGTAACTCTTTTGACTTGGGGTCACTCAGGTTTTACTTTCCATAAATTTCTGCTGTTCATGTGATTTGTTGTTGTATGCCTGAACCAAAGATTTGTGTTGTTGCAGCTTTGAAGTGGTTTATACATACAACAGATCTTGACAACCCAATCAAGAGAGAGTTCAACAAATGATTTTAGAGAAGGACCTTGCCTTCAGTTGGAGAAGAAAAGCCATTTGCTACTGGAAAGGACTTCCTGAATGCAGTAATTAGGTTTAAGCTCTTACTACTTTATTTCTTGGTTTATGATTTTTATTCGATCCCCCTTTTTCCGTAGCGAGTTGAATTAACTATTGAAATACCAGTAATATTTTTGCAGACTCAACAAGATAGAATTGTAAGCAAGACCTAAAAGAGATGACAACCATAGGGAATCACAATATTAAACTACTAGTTGCAGAAGTGAATAGTTTGTTATTCACAAAAAAAAAAAAAAAAAAAAAAAAAAAAATACAGTGAAAAAATATAACACTGAATAATTTGTTTTCTGGTATTGTTGACTACTCCAATTCTTGGTGATTAAAGTCATGCTGACTCTTGATATTACTATAATGGGACTCTTCAATGAATTCACACCAATGATACATCAGTAGCTGGGGGGATTTGCGTTCTTTTGAAGCAAATCCTTCAATCTAAAAAATGGGTGTACAGGGGAACTAAATTGGCCGCTAGGTACTGTTCAGTCGACCCTGTTATTTGATAGCCTCACAAAGTTCAAGCAGTAGATACCGTTCAATTTCCTAAGCCAATTAAGCACTTCATAAGACTCTACTCCTTTTCCCCCACTATATAGGAGAAGTTATATAGACCCTAAGCCAATTAAGCACTTCGTAAGGCTATATAGGAGAAGTTATATAGACCCTAAGCCAATTAAGCACTTCATAAGGCTATATAGGAGAAGTTTTTGTTTCCAATGTTAAACTTCTTGAATAGACCTTGGTTTAGATCATACCATCCATCTAGGATTAAGATCTGCTAGCAATACCATAATTTTGTACATAGTTGATGTTCTTACAACTTTGATGGTGTCAAGCACTGGGACATGAATGAACTTGTTATTTGGAAAAATATAAAAATAAAAATGAAGAAGTCCACATTCGAAATCTTTATATATAAACAATATAGTACAATAGATAAAATGAGGACATACCCCCATTACAAAAACCAGAGTCCAAATAGAATGGATAACAAAATCCTAGGACTAACAATTGGAATAAAGAACCTAGATACCAAAGATCACAGAATGTCTTCGGGACATACCTCCAAGGCATCTAAAACTTCCCACAAGATAACTTTCATTAAGCTATTAGGATCTATATGCCTGGAGTTATGAACTCTCTCATTCCTCTCCACCCAGAGAAAATACAAAGTGGCTATAAACAAAAGCTTGAACATTTTATTCCTGAAGCTTTTTGATGAAAACTGCTGGAAGAAGTATATGGCCAAATAGTTGTAAGAATTTTATATGTGTTATCTTCTTTTTCTGTTCACATGGCAGTAATGCTCAAGAACTTCTGCTTAATATATTTTTCAAAAAAAGCTGAGTTCCAAGATCATAAAGATTTCATATTTTGCATCAAAGAATTTAAACCCATTGTATCTATATTTTCCCTGACTGAAAAAGGAAAAATGAATTTTCGGTTCTAAGAAAGCTAGTGACTTTTAGCTGGCCAGTTCTCTTATTTTTAAAGTATGTACTCTTACTATGTACTATTTGTTGCTCACTAGCTGCTAACGTCACTACAATAATAAGTCACAAAATCCAGTTGGCTCTGATATTATCAAGAAAATTTAGAAATGAAACTTCCATCATAGACTCAATAATTTAATTAGTCAATGTTGACCAAATATTGTATGCATCATAGTGATTTAAAATAGTAAGCCATGAATTGACTTTTTATGTAGACTGCATTTGGTGTATATGCTCTGTATAACACACTGACAATGAATACCTCTTCTTTGAAGGCTGTGTAAACAGACCATAGTATAGACCACCCCCCAAAATTTTGAGAAACCTAAGACATATGCTCTTTTATTTTTGTCTGCACATACATCTCCATAAATAGTCTATAAGTATGTGGATATGTGATTTTATAGTCTATAGATACATACATGTTTTAGCTTTTTTGCATTGTTGCATCAAAACTCTCGTTCTTCATCTGCACTCTTTGTGCAGATCATGGGTAAAGATGAGATAGCTAGATGAGAGATGAATAAGGAATCACTTTCAAACGGAGAGCTAATTCAACTCCTTGATGTTGTCATCGTGGGAGCATTTGATGAAGTTATTAAAAATCTATAATGATCTTACCAATATGATATATCAGGAGATTAGATAGTGATTGAAATAATTTGTGTGTTTAGATATGAAATATGATGAAGAGCATTTGATAAAGCAATAGAAAGTGTAAGATTAGTTTTTTTTTTTTTAGAATTTGTTATCATACAGTCATAATTAAAATGTTCAATTGATTCAAATTTACTTATAATATTCAATAAAATGTTGAATATTGGTTAACTTTGACTGATTTGTTAATGATTGAAAAAAGGTAATGAATACGATAACTGATTTTGGGTACACTTCGCATATTCATTACATGCAAACATTATCTGATACCGGAATTTAAAATTATTTTCATACTCAGTTTCTTTTCTTTATTTTACCCTTTTAATCTTGATTTTTTTATATATTTTTTCAAATATTTATCTATGCCATTTGTATGTGCTTAATAGGTAACGCAATATTCTTCATTTACAAGTAATCTTATCTTAGGAATTATAGTTTGAATTTTTATTTAGATTTCAACTGTAAATAAAAATATATTATAAATTATACAGTTTATAAAAAAATATATTTTTCATACAATTAATTTGGCCCCCCAAATCAAACTTCCTGGGTTCTCACTTGTGTAAATTCACTAAATTGTGCTTATGATTTGTATCATCTCAAGAACTAAAAAGGTTTTGCTCCACCAGGGTAAGAGAGGAAGGAATCCTAAAGGAGGATATGGAACTCCCTTGGAAGCAGTTTTGGGACTTATGGAATCTCCGAGCCTTTATTATCTTAAGCCTTTCATTGCAAACCTTCTTAATTATATTTTCCCCCCTGAGAAAGAGAACGGCAAACAATTGGATAATCATGCCCCTCTGGTCGGCATACTTGCTTGCAGACTGGGCTGCAAACTTCGCTGTCGGACTCATCTCTAACAGCCAAGGCAACACAATTCGTCATGAAAATACTGAAGCTCTTCTGGCATTTTGGGCTCCATTTTTTCTGGTACACCTTGGTGGTCCGGATACCATAACTGCTTTTGCTCTCGAGGATAATGAGCTGTGGCTCAGGCACTTGCTTGGCCTCATATTCCAGTGTGTGGCTACTCTTTATGTCTTCTTTCAATCGCTACCCGATAAGTTCGATAACAAGCTATGGATCCCAACAATGATCATGTTTATCCCAGGAATTATCAAGTACTCTGAGCGGACGCGTTCTCTGTATCTCGCAAGCTTGGGTAGTTTCCGGGAATCCATGCTTACAGAGCCTGATCCTGGGCCTGACTATGCCAAGCTCATGGATGAATACTTTTCAAAGAAAGAATCAAAACTTCCAACACGGATCGTGATGATTGCAGAACCTGATAGAGTAATCAAAGCTGCCACTGCAGCCACAGTAGATGATTTGACTGACTTACAAGTGGTGCAACATGCCTATCGCTTTTTTAATACTTTCAAGGGGCTTATTGCTGATCTGATATTCAGTTTTCGTGAGCGCAACCAAAGCCGAGACTTCTTCCTGAAAAGAAGAGCAGAAGATGCTTTTAAAGTGATAGAGGTCGAACTGAATTTTATCTATGAAGTTCTCTACACAAAGGTCAGTGTGGTGCATTGCACATTGGGGTATATTTGCAGGTTTATTTCCTTCATTTCCGTAGTTGTATCCCTTTTACTCTTCCATTCCAATAAGAAGAATGGATTCCGTGGGTTTGATGTTAAAATTACCTATGCGTTGCTCGGTGGTGCCATGGCCTTGGATGCAATTGCTCTATTCATGCTCATTTTCTCTGATTGGACCATTGTAGCCCTCACTAAGTCACCCGAGGATAACTCTAAGGATAATTCAGTTGCTGCTAAAATCCTTACCTTCATGCTGTCAGTCAAGAGGGGAAGGTGGTTTGAAGTCTTGCGCCGCAGGTGGTGTGAATCTGTCTCGAAATACAATTTAATATATTATTGCCTCCATCAACGTTTGAAAATGAAAGAAAAACTCATTGGTTATTTGGGCCTTACCAACTTCTTAGATGGGCTAAAATATGTGCAGAAGGAACCTTTCTCTGAAGGGTTAAGAGACTTCATCTTCAAGGAGCTGCAAACAAAATCTTCAATGGCAGACGATTTAGAAACTGCCAAGGAACTATCTTCAGCCAGAGGTGATTGGATTCTTCGGATTAAAGGTTGCAGCACCTTACTTCCATACATTGTTGATGTGGATTATGATGAAAGCCTTCTATTATGGCATATTGCAACTGAACTCTGCTATAATGATGATACTGGTGAAGGAAATGCTAGAAACAATACTGGTGCAGGCAAAAGTTCACCGCACTGTTGTTGCTTGTATTTACCGGGAAAAAATACTGGTGAAGGAAATGCTAATAACAAAACTGGTGAAGGCAATGCTTCTAAGAAGTATCGTGATTTTTCCAAGCTCTTGTCAGATTACATGTTATATCTTCTAGTTATGCAGCCAACAATGATGTCTGCAGTGGCTGGTATTGGTCAAATAAGATTCAGAGATACCTGTGCTGAAACCAAGAAATTTTTTCGTAGAAGGAAATCAGAACAGGGACAGGAACAGACACGAGCCTTTCCAAATATCTTTGCTGTTAAGAAATTCTTCTGCAGAGATAAATCAAAAGAGGATAAGGAACAGAGAAGTGCCTGCAAGAGTATCCTGGATGTTAATACAGAAGTTAAACCAGTTACTGTGAAAGGAGATAGAAGCAAATCTGTGTTGTTTGATGCATGCAGGCTGGCTAAAGAGCTGAAAGAGTTGGATGAGAAAGGGAAAGATAAATGGGAAATAATCAGCAGAGTGTGGGTAGAATTGTTGTCTTATGCTGCGAGTCATTGCAGAGCAAATAGTCATGCTCAGCTCCTGAGTAGGGGTGGAGAGCTCATCACTTTGATTTGGTTATTAATGGCTCATCTTGGCTTGGGGGATCAATTTCAAATAAGTGAAGGTCATGCAAGAGCAAAACTTATTGTGAGGAAATAGATAAATCAGTATGTGGTATCAATTGATTGATGACATGTCTTAATTGTCAGTGACAATGGGAGATGATATTTGGTGTTTTTGTGAAAAACTTATTTTGATCTCTCTCATTTTGTTGTTTCAGTTTTCAAGAAAATCAAAGGCCTGTAATATATGAATTTACATATTTATTTCTACAGTACAGAGGCCTCCTACTTGTAACTTCTAAATATGCAGTAATGTGGCAAAGAATATACAATGACAATGCATGCTCTGACCACATCTGGTACTAAGCCAGTGTGTGGAATGCAACCATTCAATTACTTTTGGCTTGAGAGAAAATTTTGTGCAAAACAGATCTTTTATTTCTCCGAAACCAGGTGTAACGAAATTTGAACTCGTCACAAGAGGTCATTGATTATCTAATATGGGTTATTATTTGATGCTGATGGTTTAAAACCTACATTAAGGCATGCACTCTTGAACAGATTTTATATGCTTGTCTTCCCATAAGCTCATTTTTCATTTCAGATGCAATTGGAGCCTCCATGGCATGGACTCGCCTTTCCTTTGTATGTGCATTTGTGGTGTGTTTGTGTAAGGTCCATAGTGAATGTTTTGCTTTAAAAGCATTGGAAGTGGACTTTGTCTGGTTTGGTACTTCCAAGTACCCAACCGCCATTAGCAAGATGGTACGATTTTTCCTTTCTTTGAGCCTATGATGAGTTGAAAAGTTGGAGTGGATTGATTTCATAGCGAGAGTGCCCTTGTGATAAACTTGTCTAAACATTAATAAAACACACATGTATGCATAAACATTTTATGATGAAAATATAAGAACTATAAAAGTTCATGCGTGGAAGTATATTTTGATAAATGCTAGGCTCTTTATCTTCTAACATGAACTTGTGTCCCAAATCAAGAAAATGAGGAAATGGAGTTATGTGCAGAACTCTTTTTCAATTAATCATTAAGTTTAAGGGGAAAAATCATGGCTAGACACTCAAACTGAGATTCAAAGAACTCTGCATTCATATTATTCCAGAGAAGAGATTGTACATGTAGTCACAAATTCACAATGAATAGAATATATATATATATATATTAATAAAAATTTGCTCCCTGAACAATTAAAACCTCCTCACAAACATAAATAGAAATAAGTGATTCATTTCAGTTACCTCAAGTTGTCCAAATCCAAACGTTGATTCTTTCTTATCTCATCTCTCACTACAAGCTTTGTGAAAGTTGGAGAGTTGGTGACTTTGAACTAGACTCTAATGAACGGATAGTTGGAATCATATGCCCGTTTACTTTTCTGAAATCAATGGCATTTCATATTAAAAAAAAAAAATGAAATAGAATTTTTTAGAGAGGCAAGAGTTTACTTTAACATGGTGGAAGATTAGTTGCACATGATTGGTCATGTGCTGTGATTAAAAACCTTACAAGTTGAATATATATATTTATAATATCCGCACACATGTTTATACATTTATGTCTATGAATAGTTGACCTCCTGCATCCTATCATTTGCAAAAATAAATAATAATAATAATGCATGCAATCCATAGGCATAGTAGATATAAGCAAAGTACTCTAAAATATATTTGTTTACCAGTTTCAGTTATTCTCATTTCTGTTTTCTTTCTTGTTGTTCGTGTAGCGACCCTAAATTGATATTATTTTTTTAAAAAAAAATTTGCATGACCTCTACTAAAAAGGGATCTTTTAAGTATTCAACCTGTTCCAACACACAATACAAAAAAAATATAATACATTTCCCAAAACAATAACATCAACAACCTCCTCAAGTTAGCCCATCATCGCCATCCCACTCAACACAAAATATATTTATATAGTCTCGCTTCCCTTCAAAATACCAACAAGAGTTATAGTTTACAATATATGACCATGGCTTGCAAAATGTATACACTTCACTATGGTTTTGAGACTTTACAAAAGTGTGGCAAATATACAAAAGATAGCAAAAAAAATATACTCGTAGTCCTCCTTAAGTTTGTGATGGTTTAGTGTCCACAATTTCTTTCCCGAGTTCTGAAAAAAAATATTAAATGATAGGGTGAGCATAAAGCTCAGTAGGTGGTGTCTAAGACACACCTCTTGTGGCCCCGTGAATCCAAATAATGAATAGGAATAGAGGATAGGGGTCATGCTATGCCGGAAAAGAATACAATGTAAATTCCAATTTCAAATAAACAATGCCTTGCCATGATATGCCAAAAATCCAAAGAAACATTTGTCTTTTGGTCAAAATAAGCATAAACAGTAGTTTAAAAGAATAAAAATCTTTCGATTTATAAATTAGAATTCTTTGAAAAAATTTTTGAGTCCGGTCGCGAGGTCTGAATATTAAGTATGAATCATAGTTCAAATATTTCTTAATTTATTTCATATATTCCGTGTTCCAGTCATGTATGTCGCTCCCCATTTTAAAATTCAAATTCATCGCTTTTCAAACTGTTAATATAACCCGTCATTTGGTGATTCCACAGCGACACGAGAGAAGGATTGGCTACTGTCCCTGACCCTTAGTGCCCCCGCGGCGTCATTTAGGGCCCAACTAGCTCAACCACACTAAGGCGATCTCCCTAGTTCCTTCTAGGTTATATTAACACACCGGCCTTTTGTTGTAGGCAAACTAAATAAGTTGTAGGTGATCCTCCCAACTGCCTCCCAAATCAAGTACACATGCCTGAAACATATCCTCCAAAATCTGGATGGTACGCTCTGACTGGTCGTCCGTATGTGGTTGGAATATCGTACTAAGGTGCAACGATGAACCAAACGCTGCTTGAAGTCCTTCTCAGAACTTCGAAGTAAACTTGGCATCCCTATCTGAAACGATAGCCACTGGAACTCCGTGCAACCTCATAATCTCTTTCACATAAAGAACACCAAGTGCCTCTGTGTCATCTGTTACCTTAATAGGCAAAAAGTGAGCCGTCTTGTTCAATCTGTCAATGATGACTCATACGGCCTCGTTGCCTCTCCGTGACCTTGGAAGACCTGTCACAAAATCCATAGCAATATGCTCCCATTTCCACTGTGCTACAGGCAATGGCTACAGTAAACCTGCTGGACTCTGATACTCGGCTTTCATCTGTTGACAGGTAAGGCATCTAGCCACAAACTGTGCAACATCTTTCTTCATTTCGTTTCACCAATACTGACATCTCAAATTGCGATACATCTTGGTACCACCTGGATGAACTGCAAAGCGGGAAGTGTGAATCTCCCGTAGGACATCCTCACGACAAACTGTGGAACAACCAACAAACCCTTGTACCGTAGACTTCCATCTGCATGTAAGGTCCAATCTTTTACTGTCTTACTACTGGAGATCAAGGTGTAAGTGGCATCCAAATCCGAATCCTGTCTTTGCGACTCAATCACTCGTCTGACAAGAGTAGGCTGAGCCACAAGACTAAACAAGAATGCCGACTCAATGCCATCGTCATCATAGCAACACAATCCTATCTCTGCTAAGTCTTCAAGCATCTTCTATTTCCGAATAGCCAAACCGGCCAGAGTCCCACGAGATTTTCGGCTTAAGGCATCTGCTACCACATTTACCTTGCCCGGATGATACTACAAGTCAAAATTGTAATCTTCCAAGAACTTAACCCATCGCCTTTGTCTGTTGTTTAAGTCCTTTTAGGAGAAAAGGTACTTGAGACTCTTCTGATCCGAGAACACCTTAAATCTCTCACCATACAAGTAATGTCTCCAATACTTCAAAGCAAACACGACTGTCATTAACTCTAGATCATGAGTAGGGTAGTTAAGCTCGTGAGTTTTCAACTGTCGAGACCCATAAGCCACTACTCTACCATCCTGCATCAATACACAACCCAAACCATCACATGAAGCATCAACATAACTCACATAACCCAAGCCACACTCGGATATCACCAACACTGGAGCTGTAGTCAATCTTGTTTTCAATTCATGAAAGGAAGACTCGCAGGCTTCATTCTATGTAAACTTGATCCCTTTTCGGGTCAAGCGAGTCATAGGCGCTGCCAAGCGAGAAAAATCCTTCACAAATCTTCAGTAGTAACCCGCTAAACTAAGAAAACTGTGAATCTCAAACATATTCTTAGGTTGCTCCCAATTCACAACTGCCTCTATCTTTGATGGATCAACCTATACTCCACCCTCTGAAACAACATGCCCTAAAAACTTCACCTCTTGTAGCCAAAACTCACACTTCTCATATTTGACATACAATCGGTGCCTCCATAAAATCTGTAATACAATACTTAAATGGATCTCGTGCTCCTCCCGAGATCGTGAATACACAAGAATGTCATCCACGAAAATTACCACAAACTGGTCCAAGTAATCATGAAAGACGCGGTTCATCAAGTTCATGAATGCTGCTGGTGCATTAGTCAAGCCAAAAAGCATAACAAGGAACTCATAGTGTCCATACCGTGTACGGAACGCTGTCTTCGGAATATCCTAATCCCTAACTCACAACTGATAGTACCCTGACCTCAAGTCAATCTTCGAGAAATAACTGGCTCCCTTCAACTGATCAAATAAATCATCTATTCTTGGTAAATGATACTTGTTCTTGATAGTGGCATGATTTAACTTTCGGTAATCAATGCACAACCTCAAAGAATCATCTTTCTTCTTAGCAAACAAGACCGGTGCGCCACACGGTGACACACTCGGTCGGATGAAACCTGTAATACCCCTAGTTTCAAAAAAATATAATTGGCAATTAATTATTTTATTTTATTGTATTTTAGTTGTTTGTGTGTGCTTAAGTGTTTTTAATTAATTGTTTAAAGGTTTTTAAATTACAATTTTGACTATTTGCTTGATTGTCTAGATGTTTAATTGTTTTAATTGAATTGTTGTTTTAATTCAATTATATGCTTAGGTGGCATTTGAATGTGTAATTAAATGTGTTATTTTATTTATTTATCTTTAAAACGATGTTGGGCTTGGATAGGATTAACGAACTATTTGAATAATGTAAATGGGTACAGTTTTTACCCATGGAAGTATATACATGTATATATGGGTATATATGTATATAGAGTAGTTTTAATTATTGGTATTTATTAATAATTAAACTGATATTGTTTATCATAATTTAATATATGTTATAAATTTAGGGTTACGTGTATTTTCTCACGTATTTTGCCGACTTGGATTATAACTTTTGTGGTTGTTCTTTTCTTTCTAAGAT